TATGGTGTCGAGTCTTGTACCAAGGAAGGAATTTTTTCTGTACCGCTTACAAAAAAAAGTTATTGTAAAAAAAACAAAAAACCGTTTTTTACATGTTCCATAATTTTACACTTTTGCCGTTTATTAACGATCCTAGAGATCGTTTATAATTTTCATTGCTATCTGTCGCCTGCCGGTTGGTCTCTCCGTCTGTTCCTTTGTCTGTCTGTCCATCTATCTGTCCGTGTGAACGATAACTTTGTTTGGAAATGTTCGATCGCTTTTACATCTCCGTTAGTTATGAACCGAATTGCATGAAATTCAATATGGGCATAGCTTTAACCATATAATACGCAATGCCAAAAGTTGAATCGAATCGATTCAAAATTCACAGTGCCCTTTTCGCATCTCGACCATTTATAAACCGAATTGCAAACTTTTTACTTATAAAAGTATTTGAATGAAATTTGATACATAGGCACTTGGAATAAAGGAAAATCAAACGCCAATTTCAAAATTTGGTTTTGCGCATGCGCAGTGCCAACTTTTTTATTTATGGAAGAATTTAAACGAAATTTGATACATAGGCACTTGGGATAAAGGAAAATCAAACGCCAATTTCAAAATTTGGTTTTGCGCATGCGCAGTGCCAACTTTTTTATTTATGGAAGAATTTAAACGAAATTTGATACATAGGCACTTGGGATAAAGGAAAATCAAACGCCAATTTCAAATTTGGTTTTGCGCATGCGCAGTGCCAACTTTTTTATTTATGGAAGAATTTAAACGAAATTTGATACATAGGCACTTGGGATAAAGGGAAATCAAACGCCAATTTCAAAATTTGGTTTTGCGCATGCGCAGTGCCAACTTTTTTATTTATGGAAGAATTTAAACGAAATTTGATACATAAGCACTTGGGATAAAGGAAAATCAAACGCCAATTTCAAAATTTGGTTTTGCGCATGCGCAGTGCCAACTTTTTTATTTATGGAAGAATTTAAACGAAATTTGATACATAAGCACTTCGAATAAAGGAAAATCAAACGCCAATTTCAAAATTTGGTTTTGCGCATGCGCAGTGCCAACTTTTTTATTTATGGAAGAATTTAAATGAAATGTGATACATAGGCACTTGGAATAAAGGAAAATCTAGCGCCAGTTTCAAAATTTTATTTTGCGCATGCGCCGTGCCAACTTTTTTATCTATGGAACTATTTAAGTGAAATTTGATACTTAGGCGCTTGGAACAAAGGAAAATCTAACATTAGTTTTAAAATTTAGGTTTGCGCATGCGCAGTTCCAACTTTCTTATTTAGAAAAGCATTGAAATAAAATTCTTCTCATAAACTGAAATTGAAGTAGCACGTCAACAATGGATTGCCCATGTGCAACGCTATCTTTCATATTTGTGGGCGGATTTTTACGATTTTAACAGAAGTTGCATCTTACAAATGGGAAATGAATGCAAGTGGAAATGCGCTTTATGTAAATCGTTTACGATTACTTTTTAACTTGTTTATTTAGGTTCTAGGTGTTTTTTCCTTTCACTGATTAAAGAAGATTTTACACTATTCACTTAACCAAAAGATGAGAAAATTAAAGATTTTAAAACGTTTTAGGAAAATTTTTGGAAACAATACTGGGCAGAATGGGAACAAAATGAAGCATTGAATAAAGATTCTGATTCTTTATTCAATGCTAGAAGAGAAAAATATCTGATTGAGCGTTACGAACTATTTTGGACAAACATGGGAAAATAATTAAAAAAAGACTGTGACGTAAGTTAAGATGGTACTACTTCTTCCCAAACCCGCCGCATGAACGACTACCTATTGTTCAGAGATTTTATAAGCGCATGAGATACTCCAGACTAGTAGCCAGGAAGTAGGGCATATAAAATCTTCGTGAGCTTCTTCGTCACTTACCATAGAGTTGAACGCCACCCAGTTTCTTTAGATGATGTGTTGAGTGTGTACTACTAGAATTTTTCAAAATATTTGCTTGTCGCTTTTTACATTCAGTAGGTTAAAGACTTTGCATCTGAACTGATAAATATCTTGGCTATAGTCTAAATACGTAAACCACGATCAAAATGTTAAAATGGTTACTGCGATTTCGTCGAGCACTTTCTACATGTGCCGAAACTCCAAAAGTGAATTTTACGTATTTTAGATAACTACTATAGGTATGTGGATTTTGATCAAAAGATTGTTATTTATGCAACAATTCCTATGAAATTCTGTTCTAAATAAAATTCATGAATGCTACACCTATCACTGATGTTGTATTGTAACTTGCTAGATTTGTGGTAAGATAAAATAATAAAGTAAAGACGACCCTACAAAATTTAAATGCTCTGTGAGTCACCACGAATTGAAAATTAACAACTAAACATATGTTCCTTGTTAGTTTAACAAATTATTCAAATGACTTCTAAGAAATTTTGTCATTAATAGTTACATTGGCATGTAAATCGCCATTGAATAATAATAAGGCCGCCGCCGCGTTGACTAAGCTTGCCTGTAGAGAATGTATTATTAACCCATTACTTAATGCAAGTAGGTACTAGGAAGATAATGAAAACACTGATGGGACATTTAATAAAAACGCATTTGATACATTGAATTCGTCATGAAAAAGAAAATTAGAATTAGTTACCTAAGTATACCTATACATTAAAATGTAACCATGATAGGGTATTGTTCTAGTATCCATAAGGAACATGTTAAATTCATAAACTAGAACTCTAAAATTGTTTTAACAGTTACTTTAGACGGCAGTACACAAAAACTGTCCCAAAATAACCATCTGGATATGCAGGATAATTTGTGAGTAGGTATACTAAACAAATGCTCAAGATTATGATTAAGTCAGAGCGGAAACTTCCACGGTCAGAGTAACTAAAATACGAGTGACTTCAGGGATAGGACTGTGTCAATGTCAACGTTTCGTCCACTTTCGTAAAGGTCTTCATCGGAACCAGAAACAAACTAACAATCAAAAATAAATAATATACCAGTGTGTCTCAGATCGCGTGGGATTGCATGGGTAACTTTCTCATTATTAGAGATAGAGAATTGGTTAAATAAGCAATGTTTTGCAGTTTTAGATGTTTATTTAAAATTTCATTGTAGAAATTCAAAATGTCGCATAGGTTTGACGTAAATTCAAAAAAACTAAAATTAGTCATTTTCTTGAATGTCTTATATCTTCGAAAGTATAAGAGATATAAAAAAAGTTTTATACAAAGGGTATTTGATACGCTTAATTTAGAATTGATGTCAAAACAAAATTTTGAAGAACATCTACCAACTTCCTAAGTAAATAGGCGCCATATTGGATTTTTAGATTACTTGATAGATTTTTTAATTCTCTTTTCAACGAGCTATCATAACATAAGGTTGAAAATAAAACACCAGTTATATCCACGGTTTGTATATTTTAATCAAGTAGGCTGTGATGAATTATTATTATTATGGTTATAGCTACTTCCATATATTTTATTGTTTAATGTACAATGTACACAATTCGTGAATTGTGATATGGACAGCTTGTTGGTAGAAGTACCATAAACCAGCCCTCTCTGCGAAACATACGTTGTCTAGAAATCCTTTAAGGAAGTTTATTGGAGAAGTTGTAAATAATGGTGAGCAGTTAAAGTTCCATCGAAGGTTACCGGTACAATTACATAACTTCCCATTATGCCATAAAACACATTAATTTAAAATCTTACTTGATTTCAGCGTGAAACTACAATAGGTAGGTCTTCCTGTGACGAGTAATGTTCATTATGTCAATTTGAACTCCGCAGTTAGAAAAATACGACTCATCTGTCCATATACTCGGACTGGTAAAACTGCAGTTAGTTTCGATATTCTTACGGATAAACCACCTACAAAATGTGACGTGGGACACTGCATCAATGGTAATACATTGTGTAAAATAAAGCGAAGCGAAGTGTTTGTGTTTAACGGGATAATGGCATGACATTTTTTCGAGGGGATAGTTTGTAGTTATACCACCATTTTGTAGGTATTTAAGTATGGATAATAAGATAATCAATAAGTGATGTAATAAAAGTCAAAATTTTGGAGGGAGTTGTGACGCCCAAACCCCCCTCCCATAAGTGCGCCCCTGAGATTTTAAACATCTGTTTTTTTTTTTTTTTAATTCATCACAGACTACTTGATAAAAATACAAAAAACCGTTGATATAACTGGTATCTTATTTTCAATCTTATGCTATGATAGCTCGTTGAAAAGAGAATTAAAAAATCTATCACATAAACTAAAAATCCAATATGGCGCCTATTTAACTTTAGGAAGTTAGTAGATGTTCTTCAAAATTTTTTTTTTGACATCAATTCTAAATTAAGCGAATTTACGTCGAACCTATGCGACATTTTGAATTTCCAGAAGGAAATTTTAAATAAGCATCTAAAACTGCAAAACATTGCCCATTTAACCAATTCTCTATTTTTAATAATAAGAAAGTTACCCATGCAATCCCACGCGATCTAGGAGACACTGTATATGTATTTTATGTTTATTTTTGGTTGTTATTTTGTTTCTTGTCCTGATGAAAACCTTTACGAAAGTGGGTGAAACGTTGACCTTTCGTTCAACATTGATACAGTACTATCTGGAAGTCACTCGTATTTTAGTTACGCCACAGATTTCTTTACGTATATCTGTGGTTACGCTGACCGTGGAAGCCTCCGCCACTGCATAAAAACTCTTTCCAATGAGCCAACAAGAGCAACAAGCACTACTGTACATACTAGAACATTGAGAAGAGAGGGCAAACCTGCATGTTGAATGTGATGGTTATCTGTAATAACTTGATTGGCTAACGTTGTTCGAAGGTCAAATTGCTTTTGGAACTAGGCAGAAAATCTTACTTTTTGTACACTTGTTATAGGTATATGACGCTCAATGTAAAATTTTGCCAAAATCTCGTTTTATTAACTTTCTTGAGGAAAAATGTCACTTATTAACAACTAAACTGAATTGTTTGCATTTATTAAACATATAATACATTGTGAGTTCTAAGCGAGACAATTCTGGATGGAATGTATGAATGAATGAATCGATCAATGGATCTGTGACCTGCAATGAGAAAAAAATACATATCGGAATGCATGTGTATTATGGCCGCTACGGTGTGGTCTGTGAAGGCAGCTTCTGAACACATTTGTTATTCCTCCGTACGAGGTGTTCACTTAAAGTGCGGGTGTCACGTAGACGGCCTCTTATACAAATCGCCATCAAGGTCAATAAAATCTGCAGCATCAGCATATCCTGAATCGTCATACCTAGGCTTATCAGGGGTACGTGTATACCTGCTTCCTAGCGTGGGGCTCCTCGACGTCAGTCGCAAGACGGGATCGTCGTATCTCCGAGAGACGACCGTGAACTCGTGATGGGCGTCGACTAACTTTTGCAAACGCGAGATTAATTCGTAATCGGGCATCGGCAGTATGACGCCCAGTATTTTCGCAACGGAACCCTTGAAGCTCTGCAACTGTGCCTCTCTACGGCTAACTTCAGACAGATGGTCCTTAACACGGGCCAATTCGTCACGCAAAATATGAAGGGAGTGCTCACTGATGTGTCGCTCTTGGTCAACCGTTTGACCGGTGGTTCGCACTTGATCCTTCAACAATGTTACCTTACGATTACATCGGGTCCGTAGCGACTCCGAATCGATCAATCGTTTTTGCAGATCTTCGACTTTACGGCCTCGTTCCAAAGCCGTGATCTGAAAACAGCAACAATTAATTCTGGCTCGTTTCCGGTTCTTTTACCTTATAGTCCGCTGCTACTGTTAATTGGGTATTTAAATCACGTATCTGATCTTTAGCGTCAGATAACTGCAAGTGTAATCGATCAATTTGCTTGTTTAACTTTTTAATGCGTAGGTTAGCTTCATCTCGCTCGCCTTGCAACAGGAACTTTGTCTTCGTGTTATCCTCCTGCAAGGACAGTTTACGCCGCAGCAAATCTAAATGAAGATCCTTCCTTTGAAGTTGCTCGCGAAGGGTTCGCACTTTCCTCTGTAGCTGGTACACGACGGCAGTCTGTTGAATAATTAATGACACATTAACATTAAGCAAAAACGATCTCGGAACAGTTACTTTGGTGCAGTGAAATATTACAAATAATAATATTTGGAGGTACAGTTACTTTGTAAATTAAAAACAATGAGCAACTATTTGAATTATTTGCCGTAGTTCCATGGGTGGAAAGTGGTACAGCTTACATATACAAATTATAAACAAGCGATGAGAATGTATAAACTTATCAATGAATTTTAAATGAATAAAAGTAGGTCTCCAAATTAGGGAACTACAATTTCAACCATTTGGGTTACCTACGCGAAACCAAATCATGTATGTGAAGTGACCTCTATTATAAAAAGTGCAAGTGCTTTCTCACTTTTGTTTAAGTAAAATTGTTCTGAAGAAGGGAAATTTATTGGTCTATTGACTGTAGGAAGCTGGTTAACTTTTAAATACCACGTAATTATCCAAACCACAGTCCAACATATAATATGCACTTTGTCCAAAATTCATCCCATAAGCTATGAGAGATACTGATGAAGGAGCGATACATCGCTGATATATAATACTAAAAGTTGGAGCTCCATTTGTCATTCGAGAAGAAGAGACCGTAACTAAAGTCACTAAAATTAAACGGAGTTCCATTGGATTAAAAAGTCGGCTCGAAACGAATTTCGATTTAACTTTTAGGTACAAAACCTACGACTGGTCGCATTGTGTTCCTTGAAATAGAAAATACGGTAGGTGAAAGGGAGGAGGAGGGGCTAATATTTAAAGCAAAATGGGTAAAGATTGGAAATCAAGAGATAAAGAGTGCACCAAAGAGGAGAAGTGTTACTGGAATTATCAGAAAAGAGAATTTTAAACGGAAATGTGAAAGGGAGTAAGGACGGTCAATTCAGATATATTGGAGGACCAAAGATCGAATCGGATCACCAACCTATGGAAGTGAGTCTAAAAGCGAAGATAGGAAGATAAAAAATGAAAAGACGATAAAACGAAAGAAGATACAGTTACGGATAAGAAACACGGTGGAGCTGTATGGAGGGTGAATAGAGAAACAAGGAAAACGAATAAGAGAGAATACAGAGGAGTAGAATAATGTAAAGGAGAGTATTTTAATACTCATTATTAACGTGGAAATAAGTAACCGAAGGGGAGGGGAGAGGAAAAAGAAAGGAGTGGTGGAACAAACAGTATACTGAAGAAAGAAATAAATATAGAGAAATGATGGAGAAAGAAAGAAGAGGGGAAATAATAAGTACCCACAAAAGAAAATGTGAAGAAAAAAACATGGAGAAACAGAAAGGATACTAAGGACAAATCAGGGAAATAAAAACACAAAAAGATTTTTGGAGGGTGATAAATAGAGGAACAAAGAAAAATAGGGGAGGGAAATACAATTAGAGATGGAAACATAACAGTTTGTTAAATGACTACAAGGAAAGCAGGAGAAAAAGGAAGCTATGGAAGAGGTAGGAAGAGAGTAGGTTAAAGGAGATGAGATAACAAGAGAGGCATTCTTAATATTATTACTGTATAGCAGTTCGTTTTATTTTTGTTGTAGAGGGTGTTTATAAAAATATAATTAATGTTCTTTTAGCCATTCATTATACATTTCATTTATAAATAAAGTTTAATATTTCCAATCAATGCGAAGTATCTTTTTTCCATATGAATGTTATTTAACCATTTGCCTATCAGGGTTGTTTCGCCTCAACCACATTTACTAAAATGTTATTCTCTTACAGAAATAGACGATATTTTATAAGAAAATAAGAACCATTTGAAGTTTGAATAAATTAAACAAATATAGCAATCGAGCTCCTGGGTATGGCTATAGTATGTGCAAAACTAAATTTTATGTATGAAATTTCATTTAATTGCTTCGATAAATAAGAAAATTGGCACTGCACATACTACACAAAACCAAATTTGGAAAATGGTGCTAAATTTGCTTTTATTCCAAGTGGCTATGTATCAAATTTCATTTGAATGTCTCCATAAATAAGAAAGTTGGCTCTGCGCATGCGCAAAACCAAATTTTGAAACTGGTGTTAAATTTTCTTTTATTCCAAGTGGCTATGTATCAAATTTCATTTAAATCCCTCCATAAATAAGAAAGTTTGCAATTCGGTCTGTAAATGGTCGAGATGCGCAAAGGGCGTTGTGAATGCTGATCGATTAGGCTCAACTTTTGGAATTGTATTTTATATGGCTAAAGCTATGCGCATATTGAATTTCATGCAATTCGGGTCATAACTAACGGAGATGTCAAAAGGACCTACTTTATTTTTTGGGTTACATTGCCAATTCACGAACTCCGATCTACAAATTTGATAAAGAATCCACCTACAAAATTTAATCGTAATCGGTCTATTCGTTTATGAGTTATCGTGTTAACGGACGGACGGACGGACGGACAGACACCGCAAAACTATAAACTCGCTAGGAGCTCGTTAATAAAGATTATTGACTTAGTATTTATCCTTTACCCCTTTGCATAGGTCCAGAAGAGGATTAGTAACCGACGAGCAGCCGAGGCGTGTTAATATAAATACATAACAAGAACCACCTCCCAATTTAAAGAAGTAAATTTGTAACATCCGGCACATGTTGTATCTTTTTCTGACTGTTCCATCACACAGATTCATTACACATTCCTTTTGTAAGATCGCTCTTCCGATCTGGTTCGAAGAACTGACTGCGGTCATTTAAGCGTGGAGGCCTATGCGTGAGATAACTAGGTGTTGGGACAAATGGCGTTCGGGACCACTGGACATCGTGACTGCTGAGGCCGCGATGACTGGGCGCGGAGGTCACAAAATATAGTTCACGATCAGTGGCCCTATAGTGGCCGTTTATATTCACGTGATCCGATTGAGAGCTTCGCAATTAGTCTGAATTGAAATACAACCAAGTGGTGCCTAGAAAAACATCCTTCTGAGTGCAAACCTCGAGACTACATACACAGACAGAATAGAAAAGAGAGTACCTAGTTAGTAGTTACGTTGATAGATTTTTACAGGAAGATCTAATAGCGTCACAGTTAACCAGACTTGCGGATTTGTGAAATAGCTAATTTTTTTATTCTTGGAAATGCGTTAAAAATACTGCCCCCACAGTGGGAGAATAAACAAATTTTAGAGATTGCAGCCACAGCGCTAAGGGATGAAAAAGTTACAAGGTTTTGTCGTAAAACAATTCCCCTTTTATCGTTTTAGTGTTTTTCAAAAATTCACGTTTGATTAAACTTCTAAAGTTATTTTTCCTTTTTAAAGCTACACCCAGTATAGGCAACTCAGCTTACACTTTTTGCCTTTTCTCATGCAATAATTGTAATAGTTTTTCTTTATAATTTCAGATCGTTGGTATGTGTGGTAGCCGGCATAGGAAATAAAACAGTTTCTGACGAGGAGGAGGTGCCACTGACGACTATGACCTTGAAGGGCGCCTGGAAGTAAGCGTGTCCCCGAAAGCGACAACGGGTAGCCGGAGGCGGTTTTTGTAAATCTTCGGAACGAAAACCAACTTACCGGCATCTTACGCAAGATACGGTAGATGGATATGGACGGGGTAGTTACAAAAACCGAGGGCATCAGTCAAATGAGAGCTGATGACTGGCTGCTCAGAATTGAGAAGTGTGTCGGAAAAGCAAACCCCTTGTTAAATAATCATGCGTCTGGAAAATAACAAAACTGGACGCCTCGACCACCACGGAGAAGGTGTTGGGTGAAATCCTAAGATTATATCCTGAGGTCTTCATCTGTGGGATGGAAAGAATGTAAATTTGAACGGGGACAATATATCGTGGATCGCGGCGCCGCCGATAAATTCGAAGAAAGGGGTTATCTTAGAGTGGGGCTCATTTCCTGTGGAGTGAGGGTGAAACAGGACATTCTGAGATGCAGGCGATGCTGAGAGACCGAACATATAGCCAACGATTGTAAGGGGAATGATTTCAGCAGCAGATGCTACAACTGTGGCAAAATGGGGCACTAAGCAAACAAATGTAGCTTGCTACATGACATTGTGTGAGAGATTGAGCAGGGACGAGGGAACCGGGAAATTGATCTTACTTGTGCGTGTAACTACAAAAATTTGGGAGAAGAAAAAGATTTTAATGCTACAGATAAATTTGAACAATAGACGGGTGGCTCTGGATCTTGCGGATCGGACGGCCAGACATTGTTCGGCTGACATTATATTAAGATCTGAGTTGGGGAAAGGGATGGTGAGGGCAGGACTTTGTATGGATCTAACGGGAAAAGCGGCCATTATGTTGTGGGGACAGAATTGTGAACTCAGGGAGGGCGACTTGTGGATCTAGATGGAGGGGAAGCACATTTATAGCGTGTATTACCCACAAAACGACACGGTGGCTCAGTTTAAAGAGACTGTAGACAACCTAGCTAAAACCATAAGGATGAATGGAGTTCGGGAATCTATAGTGGCGGGGGTCATCGCCGACCTGGGGGGCCACCACCACGCACCACAGGAGAAACCTGGTGGAAGAATGAGCAGCGGAGTTAGACCTTACCGCGGTACATAAAGGAAGTAAGTCCACGGTAAGGGAGCACGGAATTCCGTTATAGACGTGACTTTTGTTACAGATACAAGGGCCATGTGAAGGATTGGAATCTTTTGGAGGACGAATCCCTAAGTGACCACCGTTATATTTTGTGGAAGTTCGAGGATTGCCAAAAAAGAAGATCGAGATCGCTGGCTAAAGGGTGGAACACTAAAAAGCTAGATCCAGTGGCGCTTGACAAGCTAGCAAGGGATACAAGATGGGAAACCCCCAAATGACCGACATGTAAAATAATACCTTCATGAGCATACGTGACAAGACGATGCCGCAGAGGAAGAAGAGCGGATCACCAGCAGGGGCGCCATGTGAAGGGGGCAGGAGAGGGCCCCCCCTCCCAAGTAATAATCAAACTACGCCAGGAACTACGCACATATAGTAAAAATGTAATGTATGCCGCATGGAGCGTAGTAATATACCAAAGGCCTGCATTGCTTAGCGCTGCCCCCCCCCCCCCCCTATGTGAAGGTAAAACGGCGTCACTGATTACCAGGGGTGTACTGGCGGGTCGATGATATTGCCCACCAACGTGCAACGCCTGCATTGCGGTAAGGAGGAGATTAGAACACAAGTTACAAATCGGGATGTGTGTGGCAGAGAAGGCGGTTCTGAAAACAGAAAGAGACCAATTGAAGTACCTGATCGGTGCCAGCAAGAGGGCGTGTTGGAAATGGTTGTGCGACGAGCTAGACAAAGACATCTGGGGGAAGGCGTACCAGCCAGATAGTGGTGTGTAAGATTAGGGCAAGAACGGCGGTGGTTGGATGGCACAACGCAATTTTCTACGCTACGATAAGGAAACTTTTCCCAATCCCTATTGAGGCCGGTTGATGGTGAGCAACTAAGGACAAGAAGAGCTAGTGAAAGTTGAGGAAATTGTAGCTGCTGTCAACGGAACTGCCGATAAATAAAACACCGGGCCCGGACAACACCCCGCGGTAGTGGTTAAAATCCCCAAAACCGTATGGATTTGTGAAGGGGCGATCAACGACCAACATAGTCCAAGAAGTGAAGCTGGCAAACGTAGGGACGTTGGAGGACACGTGAGGTCCGTCTAGTGGCGTCACTGGACGTGAAAGATACCTTACCTTCAACGCGGCCTCCAGACAGGCGATAATCGATGCGTTAAGGGAGAGGGAAGTACCCGCGTATCTCCAGAAAACTAGATATGGATACAGAAGGATTACAGTCAACAAACTATGGACGGTAAAGAAATAATATTTCAGACCACAGTGGGGATTCCACAGGTTTCGGTCCTAGGGCCTGTCCTACGGAATATACCTACTGTATGACGGGGTGCTCGAGTCAACATTTCTACGAGATAGACGGGGTCGTGGTAATCGCTTTGCCGACGACCTGACGCTGATAGTTCGTGACAGGAAATTGGACTCGACAATTACCAAGATAGAGGAACCGGTTAACCGAGTCAATAGCTGGGTGATCAATCGTAGGCTGTCTGGCGCCGGAAACGACTAGTGTAGCAATCTTGCTTGACAGAAGAAGAGGTAAATATCCAAATATTGGGGACGACAATTTAATTTAATTTAAGTTTTGTCGAGCACGTCAAAATGATCTGCGAAAAGGCCAGGAAAAGTTTAATGGTGATCAACAGCATTTTCCAAAATGTGGGAGGCGCAGGCGCCATGGCTTCGAAGAGGAGGGTGATGGGCACCGCTGTAATCGATAGCGAATTGTGCGTCAGAAGAGTGACGTGGTGGAAGACTGTAGTTAACAGATTAAAAGGGGTTACCCCGTTACTCGCTTACTGGCAGTCAGGGTAACGAGCGCGTATAGGAATGTGGCGCGCGAAGATCCCGGGGCTAGTATCACTACACGTGACCATCAAGGCGAAGGGCCGTTGGGTGGGGATAAAGTGGAAGCGATGCGAATGTGGCAACAGGAATGGGACAAGGGGCTATCGTGGACGAAGTAACTGATCCCCAGTGTAGAAGATTGGATTAAAGGCCAGCATGGGGAATAAGTTATATTATCTCACCCAATTGCTCTGCGCACATACATTAAAACAATGTGTGGTAGCAAGCGAAGAAGGAAGATGAGACCACAACTATGTGTCATGACTCATGATTTACCGACTGTGTAACTTAGTGAGGCTACATAGCCGAGACAGAGATTGGAAGTTCCTTTCGATCAGTAAATAAATAAATAAATAAGTAAATGGTTTACAGAACGAGAGAGATGCAAGGTAGGAGTAGAGAAGAGGCGAGACGAGAGCAAAATAAGACAGGAATACACATTGGCTTACATATCTAGGCGGTGAACAACCACCGCCGAGGCGCGCAGGTCGGAAGATATGCCCTCGGGCGGTACCCAGCTTGTGTAATCACTGGGCATGGTTTTAGTGGGTAAACCTTACCTGGATAGAAGGGCGAGTCAGTCCCACACAGACCCACCCGCTATAGAGCGGGTAATTTGATCATAGTATACAAATCCATTAAAACGAATGTAATGCATAATGAAGATCAATGACCGTTACGTCTATTTTACACTGTAAGTTTTTTTTATGAAAGTACTGTTGCAGTTCAAAAACGTATAGCGTAAGACGAATTCGCCGACTTCCGCGGCCGGTAAACAGGTTACCTACTTTCACTGGACTACCAGGCAGTTCTACTTAGGTGGTTGTTTATACGTAGGACGTGCTAGTACCTACTAGTTTCTTATCTTAGTCATCAGTGGATGATGAGTTTTTATTGGTTGAAACGAGTCTGATTAATGAAAACCTTAGTAGACGTTGGCTGTTGTATTTTATCTTTATATGTTTAGAAGTCAAATTCCGTTTTTGTTCATTTATGTACATTTTATATTAAATAAACGTTAACCGAAATATGGTTACACAATATCCTATCTATTTGTTCTGATAAAAGAAGAACTTAATACCTGCAGCAACAAGTAAATAAAATAATCTATAACGTCCTGATATAGAATTACTGTCAACCTACTTTCAAGGAACATAAATAGAATATACCGAAATTGGTAGGTACCGACTAGCACCAAATCAGAACGACACCAATTTTTCCAATACAAAATTGACATTCTGACCTATTGTTGGAAGCGAAACAATAAGAAATAATAGAACCACTACTAAAGGCCTTACTTCGCGATACCGCGGAAGATCGCAGCACGATCGCTCACGCCGAAGCAGACGTGGTAACGTTCCATATCCGCAACACAGCAGCTGAGCATATCAAAAACGTTACCAAAACAAGCAGTCGTCACTATACGTACTCAGACCTACCTTGTCAACTAATTTCTCGTTTTCCAATCGGGCCAATTGTTCGGCCCTTAAAAGCAAAGATTCGGTGTGAAGATCGACGCCCACCTCTTGAGAAATTTCGTCCATATTCAACGCTCGTCCCAAACGCTCTAAAAACGTGACGAACTACCAAAAAGCGATTAATTTAAAACAAACTTGACCCACATACTTACCGTGGATTTATCCCTCTTGAGACCCTCACGAGAGACCTCGCAAGTGTTCAATTCAGTGTCGACCTTGTAGATCTTGTGCTCTAGATGTGCCTTGTCCTCCTCGAGGCTTTTTATTCTAATGTTAGCTTGGTCGTTGAGCGAAATTTGGCGGATTAATTGTTGAGATTCGTGTGTTAACTTCTCTTTTAACGACTCAATGTGCTATTAACAAGAGATGAGTAAAGCGTACATTACACAAATCACGCACCGTGCTCTTGTCTCGGTTGTCGGCCAATAAGTCGCGTATTCGATCTTTAATTGCCTCCTCGATCGAGTCCACAAAACGCGTTGGGGTACTCAGAAGTAGAGCAACGTCTTCCAAAGTACTTTGGTGTTCGAGATGAAGACGCTGAATTTTTTCATCTTGTATTTTTAGGTCATCTAAAAGAGGCAAGGTTTAAAGCATAGGTCGGTCGACAGTTCTTTAGTTACCGCGTAATTGGCACACTGTCGCCTCTAACTGTGCTACGTTGCTACTGGCGGATCCTAAATTTCTAGTGGTGGAAGACAATTTTTCCCTGAGATCGATACCTTCGCGTTCTGAAACTCGAAATTGCATTTCTAGCGACTCCTTCTCTTGTCGCAGTCTGTCTATTTCGAGTAGTTGAGAAGCAGTCTGTCTTTGCAGGCATTCTTTATCGGTCACGGCTCTGTCTAATGCATCCCGCAAAGATCTCACGTCCAATTCTGAAGTTGCTAAGCTATCCTGGATATTACTGGCACGATTTCTCAGGCGCCCAGTTTCCTGGAAGAACCTGTTACCTTACAAATGGGCAAATGGAGAGCAAATTACCTGAACTAACTCTGATGCCTTATGTACCAGAGCTTCGGTTGAGAGATGCGTGCCTTCCGTAATATCCGCACCTAAGGCAATCGATAGCCTTCTGACCAAGTCGTGAAACGCCGTTCTCGCCGTATCCTTCTTTTGCTCTTCGGAGCTCAAGTCCAACTCCAAGCTTCTCAACTTTTTCTCCAAATCTTTCGCTTTCTCTTCCGTATATCGATAATCGCGTTGAATGGTCTGCAAGGCTATTTCTCCTCGTCCATGGGCGGCGTGCAGGTCCCGTTCCTTCTCTTCCAACTCGTGTATTCGCTTTTTTAGTGATGATATGATGGCGTTTTGTCTCGCCGATTGTTCCCTTAAGTGGTCCGTTTCCGCTTGTAATTCGACGCATCGTTGGTCCCTGGTTCGTATTTGTCCCCTCATCTCGTTTACCTCATCTGTGAGCCTGTCCCGTTTGTACTGAAGCGCGGCCACTTCGCTCCTCAACGTCGTTGTTATGTCTACATCTTCGCCGTCCTTCTACAAATTTAAAACCAAAGAGACAATTACAATGTTCCAATTTATTTGTTCTAAAAATAGTTCAGTAATCGAACGGAGCCTTGACATGGAAGCACAAAATTGACTGATGAAACGTAAAATGATGTAGATGGGGGGCTGTTCGTGCGTTTTTCGAATTCTTTGTTTGAATCTGCGCATTGTCGATGTGTGGGTTTCGACATGTTTGATAGTTTAATTAATCGGAATTGGACTAATTTGCTACTTTTGTATGAGACTTGCAAATTACGTACGTGCACTTGCATCGATTTGATTTAGGTCAACATGAAACAGGTGTGTGCGTTAATGTGTTGCTAATTAAATCGATATTACGTTAGCCAAAAAGCGTGTAATTGCCCATGCATTAATCTTTAAGCGCACTTCGGCGTGTAATGGAAACTGTATTTCTTTACCTCCATGTCTTTACAAATTATTTCGAAAATTCGCCAATCTTCCTCTGTATTTCCAGAGGTCACGGATCCCTGCACATCAGACATCTCGTTGGAGTTTTGTTAATATGGACGTCCATGGATGACACCTTTAAATGCTCATTTTGCAGAATAATTATGCACCAGTTTTAGAGTTTTTCGTTTAATCAGTGAAAAATGTAAATAAGGAAATCGCGCCATCTACTTTCGTATAATCAATATATCCAAGGAGTTTGAATTTAGGGGAACGCCTGATTGATATTAATGGACTAACAATATCTACCTGTTGATGGGTGTAATTCGACTTGTTAAAACATCATTAACAGTAAACAGAGCCGGATTAAGTAACTTTAAAATCACCTTGATTCCCTCTCCTAAATTGCCAATGTTGGTATTTATAATAGCGTACCAAATTGTGTGAGCGAAGTATATAGCTATATACCTTTTTAATATATCAGTACTAGCATATTTACTAATAAAAAATTGCTCGATTTAGATTACGTTTCTATTGAACACAACATTGGTTGAAGAAATGGGTTAAAACTACAATTTGTAATAATTTCTTTTTTCCCCATGAAGCGAAAGCTTTCGATGACCTTGATGGATGCTTGGAAATAAAGAAAATTGACCGAGGACGCGCCGGAAGGAGAAATTTTAAATTGATTACAGTTTCCTATGGCCCTTTTCTTCCTGCTGAATAAGCCAAATGTAACATTACCATTATACAGGCTGATTCAAATTTGAGGGCCACCATGGGGATTTCGGGAACAGTAAGAGATAGGTAGTTCAAATTTGGCAAAGTGGCGTATTTTGATGCTCAACCAAATGCCCTTTTGTATATTGCAGGAGATCCTGAAAAAAACAAAATTTTGCAAAATCGTTTTTATTTTTTACCGGTTATTTAAAAAGATGTTTCAAAGTAAATGACACATTATTATGGCCACTTTTGTCCCTCTACAAGATGCTAGTTTTAAATGTTAAGTATGACGTTTCGTTTTCGGTTAACCACCATCAACTTTGTTATTTAAATTTTTGTATCATTTGATAGAGCATTTTTCTGATTTCAAAAATGTAAACATCAATTTTTTTTAGGATATCTCGAAAGTAGTCGGAATTTTTTCAGTTTCAAAACGGTATTTTGTTCAAGCCCACCGTTTGACCTGCAGTGGGGTTTTAGTTTGGACAACAACTACGATCGAATGGCCTTCAGTGACATTAAATATAATAATTAAATAAATAAAGAAAATTTGACGAAAGCGCACCGTTAGGTTAAGACCGTACGTAAAGACAAACGAATTGTTCACGATGATTTAAAATAGAAAATCGACTGGGAGTGCTCCGCCATATGAAGGCCGTAAAGGAAACTTAATTTTCCGCAATGCTTAAATATTTAAAAAAATGACCGAGAGCGCACCGTCAAGACCGTATAAAGAAATAATAGATTATTTTATCTTGAGGATAAGTATTACTTTTCATAGCACTGACAGTGTAGTAAACAACCTTACTATAGATTCAGTGGAAAGTTAAATTGTCTTGTCGTGTTTCCATAATCACACTTTTCCCTCTGAAGGCAAGAAAAGGAAAAGTAAAATCAGCTCTAGCGATAATATCTACATAATCTTTAGCATCTACGACGCAGTCGACGTTTGAAGAAAAAATCAATTTTTCGCGAAGTGCCCCAGAGCGCACAGTCGAGATAAAAACCGTAAAGAAAACTTCGGTTTTCGCGATGCTTGCGAATAAAGAAAACTGCCTAAGAGTACACGTCAAGACTGTAAACAAAAATTAGATTTTTGCTGCATTACAAAAAACGGCGCACAATTTAAGTGATCCCCATTACGAAGCATTATTATTGTTTACGGTTTGTTACTTGTTGAAAACCCCCGTAACTTTTGAAGCGATTTGATAGATGGCTGCATATATATTGCTGAAATTTAATCACGCAATATTGCCGCGCAGATTGCCAATGCCCTGATTTTTGGGTGCTCACTTTCATCTTCCTTTTTCCTTCGTAAACCGTATTGAAGTACACGTTGATTAAAAAACAAGCTGAAAGCTGTAACAGTATAATGACCATCCTGTATGTGAGAACGGTTATCGCAACGAATGAACGTAAAGTTATCAATACAAACAAATGCAGACGATGACATTGATGCTCAAGCTGTGAGAGCGTATTAAAGCATGCAAAACGAATTTTTAAAATTTATAAATTATAAATTACTTAATATTTACCCTTCAGGGGATTTGTTTAATTAAAAGTGTCTCTTTGTAAACGTAAGTTTCAACGAGCCAAATGTAATGATTCTGCACTTATTTGCATTTCAGTAATCAGTTGTACGTCCGCTAAATTTATTTGGAAATTATAGCAGTCGTCATTACCAATTATAATTGAGAATTATATACTTTATAAGTGCATTATTGGCACACAATATTGTCAGGAAGTCCGCATACGGACGTGAGTATGCTTACTCATAAAACTTTAAATGCGCTACTATTATCATTTTAGTCTTGAGTAACGGAGTCAGAGACCGTCAGTAAAGCTCCAAATAGGTTGGGAACCCTAAGAAACGACATTCTGCAGTGGCCGATAAAACAGCGCCAAAATCAAGGGAGTTTTCGTCAACAAAGATAAGTCAACTTACCAGTACCAGCCTCATATGTCCGTCATTTACTTACCTTCATATATCGTTCCTGTTTAATACTACTGTTTTCCGATACCTATACAGTAAATTGATAATGTCTTTATTGTGTACCGATACCGACCGGTAAATGTTGTATCATAATTAAACTCAAATCATTGAGGTGACCGGTCGAAGCACTTTGAATTGTCCCTTCTCAAGTACATGCGTCAAAGGTGTTTTATTATTGCTGCCAAGAGATTGCCATACTTTGGCCTCCATCCTCCAAACCGAATCCCAATCCCTTAATAAAATTAGTTGTACCACGTTTGCATTTAGTAGACGATGCCACCCTGTAAACATTATCTCGCTTGCGTGGTTACAAAGCGTAGAACGCGTGGAATTCTAACTGCCATCTTCCGAATATATTGATCTCTGGCGATTGGATTCACAATTTGGGACTTCAGAAGTAACTAGTTTGCACGGGATTCACTTGTGCTCCCAGTGAGCTTATACATTTGCGTCTTCCCCTTTTATAGTAAGTGCCGCCATGTGCCTTGCGCTTGTTTAGAGTGTACCTTCTTTAGGTTTCGGCAGTAATTTGTTGTACTGTACTTTCCAATTACGAAATTTACAACACAAAGTGACTCACGATAATTCAAACGCTATAATCAAAGCCGAGTACGCTTACGAACGTTGATAGATACCTACTACCTATACTATTGTTGTTACTGTTCATATTTCGAAAGGTACCTACGTGTTTTATCTTTCGATCTGCCGGACAATTAAGACCACTTTGAAGACCAGACAGTTTAGCACCTGAGGAACCCACCAGGAGGTAGACATCCTTGTCACTGCAATATGAAGAAGATTGGACATCTTGTTAAGGGAATCGATCATGCTACTTTGAATGTTTGTGAGTGCACTCCATGTTTATTAGGTAAGATCCCTGGTTTACCATTTAATAATTTTGGTTCTTACTACACTAGTATATTTTACTAATCTATGGGGAAGATCTAGGAATTGTTTTATGTAACCCAAATCTTGAAAATGAAAGAGTCCAGGCTGAGAAGAAATTAAAAATTTTAGTAACAAATAATGAACGCAACGATAACATATAACAGAATATTCCTTTAAACGCCTTTGTCTTTCATCCTTGATAAAAAATGCTATGAAAATACTAGACACAATTTTTGTGAGTTAATCAATGTACCTACATGTCATGGATATGGAGTATAGTTATATACCTACTAGTTTACCTTGTTAATTAATTTAGGTGTGTATGCAAAATTAGTTTTTTATTGAAAAAAGGCAACCAATAGTCTGAAATTTTCACCATTCATTGATGAGCATAGGACGCCATAGGTTCGTTATGTACCGATGCACACGTTACTTCCATATATTTCGGAAATAGTCGATTTGCTAACAGGAAATCAGAAACTAAAAGAGAGAAAAGTATGTATCTCTACTGGTGTGATAGCTAATGAAGGATATTGCTGAATCCCATTCTTGCCTTTCATTTTTCATGCTACTACAAATACAAAACAAAATTTATGTTAATCCATTCAATTCAATATTCAATAATCACGGGTGGATGAGTATCAGCGTTTCCTTGAGAGTTTATTTTGCGTCACCTTACCTTAGCGCCATCTATTGTCACGTCATGTGTTCCATGATTTCATTTGTTTGCTAAATGACCTCTTCTACTTGCTGTTGTACTGATGACTCTCATTTTCGGGATATACACAACGGTGTGAGGACAGTGTCCTCGTAGTCTATACTCTGTTAAGTTTTTCCAATGGTTTTTCAAAGTACATTGGAACAGATTACGGAATAAGAATAATAATTGAATATTTATCCAGTGACAGTACGAAGTATAAAAAGTAATAACTGTGACATAAATTCCATTTTATAAACCTATTAATTTGAAATTTACTTTTCTCAAATAATAATTTTGTTTCAAATTAGCTAGGAAAATGGTTGACAATATTACACGCTTAGTAGCCTCCTCTTCCTCATCTTGCTAATATCAAAGAATACTTACTCTTTGCTAATATTTTAATCGGCTTATGGCTAAGATTGTGTAAAGTGTAATACACCAACAGCTATTATTTGCATGCACGGTACGGCGAAGACCCTTGTATGCGTCTGCTGCGTCGTTCTAGCGTGTCTCGCGGAGTGACTTTCTTTTCATACAAGAACCAATAAAATAGGGGTCGTGTAATGGGGGTGCGGGGACAAGACAAGCCATTCCAAATGCGGAGTATGTATAAGCAAAGAAGCCTTCAACACCATAAAAATAAGTTGTTTATAAAGGCCTGTTTAGAGTTTGCAAGTTTTATTGCGGGCAATAAAAATTGCGGCAATATTTATTGCACGCATGCGCGCAAGTGTACTTTTCGATCAGCTGTTGCAATTTTTATTGCGTTGCCAGAAGTAGATCCGGAGCGATTTTTATTGCATTGCAATTGCAATTCTGGTGACTATTTTAGGGGAATTTTTAATGCCAACATCTAGAATTACTATGGCACCAAGGATGTGAAGTGTGTTGAATGTGTTGATATCTCTGTTGTTCATCTTGATTGAAATGCATGTAGTAACTAAGATTTGAATTTTGAAATTACGCACCTTTAGTTTAAGTTGGTACTTATGTATAGTTGGTAGAATGTATTTTTAAGTTGCATGCACAGGAGATTGACTATATATTCAGTTTGATGGAATTGTGTTGTATCAGTCACATTGTGTGGTTCAGTTCCCCGCATTTTATTTGATAAACATTATTGAATATTGTTATTGATTATTGTATTAGTAAGCAGGACCCCCTACATGCACAATAGATAAGCAAAGAACAATTTAAATGCAAATGACAAATCGAAGATATTTTGTACACACTTATTTGAAGTTATAGGGTTGGTACTATGCAATGAAAATTGCAGACTGTAAACACTTGCTATTTGTTGTATATTTATTGCTGCAATAAATACTGCAGCAATTTTTATTGCCCGCAATAAAACTTGAAAACTCTAAACAGGCCTTTAAGGAGCTCCTAGCGAGTTCACGATTTTGGACTTTCTGTCTATCCGTCCGTCTGAGGACAAGATAACTCCCGATCGGTTTCCAATTTTTCAATTCTGTTTTTAGTATATTGTTTATCATCACCCAAGGGAGAACTGATTAAATGTTCAGTGACCCAGGAGTCTGTTTGGTATATTTAAGTAGAAGTAGTAAGTACCTACTATGCGATTATTTGTATATCTTTGTTTATTCATTTTAAATAAACAAAGGTTATATGTATCTGTATGTAACCCTCCTCCTTCCTTAGTCTTTTATTTCAATGGTATGTCTATGCCGATTTATGCATATCCATCACACAATGAAATAAATAAGGAAAAAGAAATATGAAATAACAAATAAGGAATAAGAAATAAGGCATAACAATTTTCAATCTACTGATCTTTATGAATTTGCACACAACACTGAAATATGAAATAAACCTAGGAAATAAGAAATAATAATTTCGTTCTGTCGAATTTTTATTCCTTATTCCTATTGTGAATTAATGACATTAGAAGAGGCGCGCGCGCGTATTCTGTAATTATTATTTTATCTTGTTAACTTAAAATAAAACAAGTATGAGGTGTGGTTTTTGTGAAGTTATTAACTTGGAATTATACGTATTTGAGGTCGGTGCAGTATAGTAGTTATATCGTATTTGTGTTTTGTTTGCCGCATTTTATTTTTTTTTGTGTGTTTCAATATTTGTTTTTGAAATTTACTTGGTTTAACCGCAATGCAATCATATGTGTGATACCGTTATGCTATTGTTTGTAATTGTTTACGTTTTTGGTGTAATGTTTGCTTAATTTATGTTTATTGATGTTGATTACTTGGTCTTGTCCCTGAAGTTACATTCATGTAAGTTTTCATTTTATTTTAATATGTGGAAATTGCTGATTCGTTTGATGTATGTACTGACTTGTTGTTTGTTACTAACAATTTTCTCCGTGAATGAAGCAGTCACGGGAGGTGGAAAAAGAAACTGTAGTATATAATTATGTGTTAGGGGACCTAATTCCGTGCACTGTCTTCGACATCCAACTGTAGGTTCGAAACCCCGAAACCAGGGGCGGACTACCCATCTTGTAGGAGCGAGATTACGCTAATCAAAGCTCTTCAGTTTAGAATCTATGTGCGTTAAATGAGTGGCGATTCAATAATTTCCACATATTTTGTTTTTAGTCAAATTTGCCTACAAGGCCATGTAGTTTTCCATCTTGCTTTCAACAAAAAGACTTTATTGCATCAAAGATGAGTCACATCCTGTACTTTTAACCCTTTCTCAGAATCTTGGTACCTGCTTCTACCTGACCCATTGTCCCCAAAAACTTGCTTTAACCTTGAGTGTAACCAACATTGTGTACCTATATGCATTTACTATCTTTGTTAACTACTGCTTAAACTTTTACAAAATATTTTGTTAATTAACTTTTGGACTGTTTTAATCAAACTGCAAGGTTTTTCTTACGTCGTACTCTTTTTACCCTTGGCAGTGACTTTTGCGAGAGTAGGTACGACACCTTTTGGCTTTGTTTGTTTTGTTTATATTTATGTACATCAACTAAATTTCCGGGTTTTCGCAATCATAATAATTACGATCATTATTAAACAAACTTTTCACAATTTCAGTGTTTTATTTAACGTTCCTTCCCTACTGTGCTTCAGGTCAAAGCGTTATCTATAACTAACGTAAGGGGGCCCTGCCTTAGATGTTTGATTATGTGCCACTTTTCAAATTTAAGAGTCATCTTGTTTAGTTTTGGAGGGAATAGTCATTCGGGTGGCCATTTTTTTAAACGTTGCCGGGTTTATTTTATTTCCGTGTTCTTGTAGTGTGAAGTTAGCGTAGAACCTGGGGGTTAAGTACACTACAAGTCTGTTGCTATTTCTTTGTTGTGTTTTGCGTGTACGGCGTCACTATTTCTTATTCCTTATTTTTTTGATTGTATGATGGGCTTCCCCTCGTCAAAAAAGGCTTTAATAAACCATAGATATAATGTGTCCCAACCAATTCCTAAAATGACAGTACAGTAGTCTGTTGTTTACAATTGTAGGGTTAGGTTTGATGTTTATTTTCTTTTCTGAGGTTTTACATATTATGTATATCCAGAGACTTGTTACAACATCACGATCACCCTTACAAAGTTGCCCATAATTCGCCTTTGTTGATTGAAATAATTAAAAACAGTGTGTCAGTAAACTGTAAACGTCTTCCACCGAATATCATTTCTGAATGTACATTCTTACATTTCCAGACCAGTGATCCACAAGGTGTCACATTCTGGTTACTTCTAGAAGGACCTGTTCACCATTGTAACTATTTTCTATGTGATGATGGCTGCGTTTGTAAAAGTTGAAATCAAACAAGAAGAAGAAATAATTGCTTCTGTGGATGAGAAAGTTTTACTTAGCAATGGACCTGTTCCAATCAAGCATGAAGTAATAAATGATCCGATGATTAATGCTGGTTATTCTAATGTGTGGTGTGATTGGAAAGATGAAAATAAGGTTCAGCAGGAAACTAATTTAGTGACTGAACATTCTGAAGAATTGTCATATGGTGGACGATCGCAAATTTTAAGAAATTTTAATTGTGCTCAGTGTGATTTTACAAGTAATTATAAATCTAGTTTGAGGGTACATTTACTAACACACACGACTAGCAAGGATTTCAAATGCTTTCATTGTGACTATGCAACCAATAACAAATGCTATTTTAACAGACATTTGTTAAAACATAAAACTGACAAGGATTTTAAATGCTTTCATTGTGATTATGCTACGAGTATTAAATGGCATATTAAAAGACATCTGTTAACGCACAAAACTGCAAAGGATCTCAAATGCGCACAGTGTAATTATGCAACGAATGACAAATACCGTTTTAAATTACATCTCATAAGACACATGGGTGCTAAGGATTTAAAATGTGCACACTGTTATTACACAACTAACAATAAATCTCATCTTAAATTACATCTGTTAAGACACATGACTGCCAAGGACTTACAGTGTGCACAGTGTGATTATGCCACCAACAACAAAGTTCTTCTTAGAGGACATATGTTAATACACAAGGCTGTCAAAGATTTTAAATGTGCCCAGTGTGATTACGCAACCAACAATAAAAGTCATATTAAAGGACATTTGTTAATACACAAGACTGTCAAGGCTTTAAAATGCCCTCATTGTGTTTATGGAACCAATAGCATATGCCTTTTTAAAAAACATCTGTTAACACACAAGACTGCCAAAGATTTTAAATGTGACCAGTGTGATTACGCGACCAATAATAAAACTCATCTTAAAGGACATTTGTTAATACACAAGACTGTCAAGGATTTAAAATGTGCACAGTGTGATTATGCAACCAATATAAAGTCAAACTTTAAAACACATTTGTTAACGCACAAAACTCCCAAGGATTTAAAATGTGTACAGTGTGTTTACCTAACCAATAACAGATGCAATTTTAAAAGACATTTGTTAACACATAAGCAGTGAATTGGTTATGCAATCAATAACAAATTTTATTTAAAAAGACAAGATTCCCAAGTTTGTATAATGTGGTCAGTGTAATTATGTAACAAATAATTATCATAAACACTTGCAAACAAGTGCATATGATGTTGAGACATAAGATTTATGTATGATGATGAGAAGAATTGCTGACAGGGAGACGCCAATGACCTGCTCGAGTAAAGCACCATTGATGATGACAGAGTTGGGTATTTCAACTAAATATTTGTATTTAAAATACGAAATGGAAAATAAGTATTTCAGATAAGTAGCTGTTATGTTGAGGGTTATTATTATAATATATAGAAAGCAAGAACATTAAAAAATCGTTTGGCATGATTTTACCCTTTGTTTTAAATAAAAGCAGTTTTTCAAGATGTGCGTCTCTTGAACATCTTTTTGGCTGTATAATCATTCCTGCACAGGAAAACAAGCGTTAAAATAGATTCATTTGAAATAATTACCCAGCTTTGGATGAAGATTTAATTGGTAGAAATAAATAAAATGAAATTAGGGTAATAAATGATTGATTTCCCAACTAGTTAGTACGTTACTTGCAGACGGAAAGAGTCCCATATATACAGGGACTTCGCTTTACACCTTTCATCTATTGAATGCGCTCTAAATTCTGGCCGACTAAATTGCGTAAGGCGTTTGTTGAGACACTATTTAATATTTTGACGAAACCGAACCACTACAATTTTATTTATTTACAATATTTTAGGTTAGGTTTGGAACTTTCATCATGAATTCAAAAAATGCCAGTTTTTATCCTATAATCCGCTCCATTCAAAAGATCGCCCTATATGAAACGAAAGCTGTAAGGTCCAGCAATTTTTTAACCTTTTCTAATAAATATCCCATAGCGTTTCTATTTGGTAGGCTCGAACAACACCGAAACCAGGTTTCGTGTTCTTAAAATTGATCGAATGGAACCGAGAGATTTGATCATCACGGACGATAAAGTCGAGTATTCTAGGGACGAAATTATCGGCCTTCTTAATACTATCGATGCAGGAAACAGACAGAGGTCTAATTTGGCCAAAAATAATATATCCGCTTTCGGGATAATGGGTAAAGATGCGTAAATATTAAGGGTGTTAAGATGTATATGTCGTTGCAGGTTTCATAAGATTCTTGGAAGGTTACTACATAATACTAATTACAAAGAGAAGAAAGGTTGCTGTTATTGGTCACCATACAATTTATAAAATTGAAGATACGTCTATTTTGTACATACCGCACGATACTGTTCGGCTATTACATCCTGACGAGCCGAGGTATCTGAAGATGTTTCAAAGTATTGACTTGTGGAGCAACTTTTATTTCAGGTAGGTATGTTTTAATTAGATCTGGTAATCAAGTTGGCTCCCTATCCAATTTCACTCAGTATGACTAGATGTTTACAATTATTAATGTGCCAGCTTTATTTTTCATTGTACACCCAGTTTAAGAAACGTCATGCACAAGTCGATCGAATGGCTGGATTTACTACCTACCCACTTTGAAAAGTACTAAGGCTAATCTAATCTATCTTTACCAAACAGAAAATATCTTTATGTTAACTATATATTTCAGTTCAATTTTGTCTGTTGACTGTCTGCAGTGTTTTTAACTCAATGGTATCGATTATTCACTGCATTACAGGAGTGTGGGTTGTGTTTGTGTTGTATGGGCGTAATCAGTAGGTAACTGTGCATTCTCTCCTCTCGCAGAACAAAAAGAAAGCCAATACCGTAAAAATCCGAATTGTATCATAATTTTGTAAGCGTCATCTAGTAGAGCTATAAAAGGTGCAATGAGAAAGTGTCTTTTATTTCTGTGTTTCTCTTAAAGTAAGTAATCTCAAAAAAAATAACGAAAACACGATATTTCGTGTTTTTTTGAATACCTCGGGAATTTTACAACTTTTTGGCATTAAACCGGATTTGTAACTTTTGTGGTTTCCGAGATCCCCATTGTGTTCGTTTTCATCTTGTACACAATATGGTGTGTGCAGGAAGTGTACAATGAAAATTTTAGTCGTGATGTAGTTTCTTTATTATTGGAGATGCAGGTATAGACATGCAAGACAAAATATGTAAAATGAAGCAAGAAAGTTTTTTTACTAAAACATTTTTTCGATCAGATAAACCCGAGAATAAGAGGTTAAAGATTCATTAAAAATGCCACACGAGCGACAGCGAGCCCACCAGCTCTCAACAACACCGACCAACGACCGCTTTTATTAACATGCACGCTGTTGCATAAATCCATCTCAGTCACACTCTCACACACCTGTTTTATTTTTTACGACCCGTACGTTAAGGTGGACCTATTTGACAGTGTTTTATTCAGATGACGCCACTAGTCAAATAAGGTGATTAAATGAGTCATTATAATGAAATATCCGCATGAGGGTCTGTTCAAATGCTGAATCCGAAGCTCAAACTAACTAAAGCTTGTAAAAGAGCTGCGCAAACCTTATCAACGTTTCATCGTAGTAGGATAAACGGACCTTAATTACAATAGATACTAAGAGAGATGGTATAAATACAAGTGCATTCGTGTTTGAAAGTAATTAGAAGAGCCAAATTACGCCGAGAACAGAGTGTAGTCTCCATAGACCGCGCAGCAGCGCCCGGACGAAATTTCCAGCCGTATTTTTGGGAAAAGCGGCAATGTTGCGTCGACTGTCAAACGCCTGCCGGTTTGACGTAGACATGTGACGTTGCTGTATAATCGCTACATACCTAATACAGTATGATCCTTCGCTGTATCCGCTACTATACAGTGCGTAAGCTATACGAGAATTATCTTTTCTTCTACTACATGTTACTTCTGCGATGATGGACTTTAACATGAATGTTTATCTTACAAGTACTTTTCGTCTGAAATGGTGGTGGACGAGACTGGAGTAGAGCCACGCTATTTTGTGTACAGTGTGTCCTATTTTGTTTGAGACTGCAGTCTATCTTAGCCGTTTTTAAGGACAGAGGCTTGCGGTTTTTGCGACCCTGGGCCACTTTTTTGTGAGACATTTAATACCACAAACGTAATCCATCTAACTACAGGCGGCGCGCTATAGCATGATGAATAACGGCCCAGACCTAATATGACATCACCTATTGCCGGGAAAACTTCTCGATTGAGTTTCCTACTAGAATAGCGTACAGTTCAGCGGACCTTACTATATTATAGTATCATGCTGTTTCTGAAATACAGAGTGAAAACGAAGAGTTTGACTTTTTGGAATAATACCATACCTTTACTACCTATGTAAGATAGAAAAAAAGATAAAAATTGCCTATTTTAGATATTTTTAAATAGATTCCTGTGTCGTAATCAAAAAATTTTTGGACCGCCGTTTCTGAGACTTGATTCAAAGTTGTTATTTTTTTTAATGTACCACCCTGCATATTTTAACGTCAATTTTTTGCATGCATTTTCCTGATTACAGTTTCTGTATATTATAATTATATTATATCATATTTTTCAAAATTTTGAAAAGACAAGTTCTACCGTCAGCTATTTTTATTGATTGGTATCAGCTGCCTTAATTACCCCTTGATACAATAAACAAAACAAAGTCTCCATGAATCCATGGCCTACTATTTAATAACAGTAAAAAAGAAGGTCTTCATGGCTAAAATTAAAAAAATATATAAGTAGGTTGTGATACATCAATGTAATCATGAAAAACAAGTGACGTTATGTACAGGGTGCTGCATTAAAAAAATACCAACATTGGGTCAAATCTCAGAAACTGTGATTTTGACTACGTCACTGGTTTCTAACTAAAAAATCTAACATGAAACATTTTTACATATTTTCTAAGATGAGTGGTACGATGATAACTTCTCAAAAAGTCAAACTTTTCGTTTTCACCTTGTATTTCAGAAGCAAACGTAGCTAGATTGATTCTGTTTGTGGTATTAAAAGTTTCACAGAATAGTGACAGGGTCGCGAAAACCTCAAGTCTTTATCTTTAAAAACACTTGAGATACACTGCAGTCTCAACCAACCACTGTATATGTGGTTTACTATTTTATGAGTTGTTTTATTTTAATTGATCGTACATGTGTTTTTGTGCTAAACTGATTTATCATGTTTTCCACTTGCATTTATGTCTTGTGTGCTTTGTTTTTACGAGTTGTTTAACTGCATTTGATTCGATTATCTATTTTTCTCTTATAATTTGAGAAGTTTTATTTGTGTATTTTCTTTTGTATATATTTTGTTTCTGTACTTGATTTTTTCATGTACCTATTTGTATGGGCTATGCTGGGGTTTTTGTCCCTTCCCTAGTATCGCCTTTCCGATCGGGCGGACTTATGCTACAGCGTGCTTGTTAATAAAGGTGAGCGTTACATAGCTATAAAGGTAATCGAAAGTGCTATTAATTACAGGGTGCTACTTTTTCTGGTCCATATAAAAATATGAGGTTAATTATGATTTCTCAAAGATGAAACGGCATAATGAAAATCTGTAGAATGATCTTGTAGAGCCTAAAAAGTGCCTATGAGGAGCGTTATTTGTTTTTTTGATATCAAACATCCTTAACTCCATTTACACTTTTCGTTTGCCACACTGTTTTCGTTCATGGAACACTCGTCTAAAATCTTAAAAATAAAGAAATTTTCCACAAAGAAACACCTGCGAATTTTATCAACTTAGAATGTCGTATCAAATTAAATAAAAGCAATAAATTAAACTAAGTTTAACCATGTTACACAGCAAGATTTAGCTGTAACACAAAATTCCACAACCATTAATACTTTTCGGTAACCAACTCCTAAATTCTAATATTGTTTAATTCAATGTGTAAATTAGTAATACATTCCTTTGTGTTAATAGTTACAGTTACGACATCACGCACACTCTTCAATACAATTTGAGTATTCCAAGGGAAGTAGTGCCCGCCGATGTGGATTGTGTAATATCGACAGACGAGATTTTGAAGTCGCCACAGTTTTTACAGCACAACACTAAGATGGAAACCGCAAAGTACGGGATTCGTACCAAACCTTATCGGAAATTTGTCTGGAATACGCATCTGCTAAGCGAGGTGGAAAACGAGCTGCACCCCGAGTGGATACTCTACATTACCCATGGATTTGTCGATCAGTCAAACGTGAACGTCTTCGGCCGTTCCATATACGTAACGCTGATTGCGAGACGTTCGTCCAAGTACGCGGGCACTCGGTTTTTAAAACGCGGTGCGAATTTCGAGGGAGATGTCGCGAACGAGGTCGAAACCGAGCAGATGGTTTTCGATTCGGGCGTTTCGTCCTTAAGCCAGGGACACTTCACGTCCTTCGTTCAAATGCGCGGCTCCATTCCGGGACATTGGAGTCAGGATATGGGAAAGATTGTTGCAAAACCTTCGATTTCGATCGACTTGTACGATCCGTATGCTGAAACCGCGGCGGCGCACTTCAACGAGCTTCTGAAACGATACGGTTCGCCTATTATTATATTAAACTTGGTGAAGAAGCACGAGAAGAAACCACAGGAAAAGTTGCTGAGTGAAGAGTTGTATTCCGCCGTGAAGTATTTAAATCAGTTTTTGGCCGCCGATCACCAGATTGTGTACAAAGCGTTCGATATGGCAAGGAAGAATAAAAGCAAAGCCGATGTCATGGGTGGGTTGGCTAATATCGCTAAGAGCGCCGTGGCGAAAGTCGGAATTTTTAATAACAAAAACCCGTTCTCAGCCCAGAAGAGTAGCACAATGGTTGGTCAGAATAAAATTGCGAATAGTAGTTGGAGCGTGCAGACTGGCATAATTAGAACTAATTGCGTAGATTGCTTAGATCGTACCAACACTGCACAATTTGCAATCGGCAAATGTGTGCTGGGTTACCAGCTATGCGCGTTGGGTATTTTAGACTCCCCCAAGTTGGAATTCGACACCGACTGTGTTCGTATGTTAGAAAGTCTGTACGAAGACCACGGTGATACTTTAGCACTCCAATACGGTGGATCACAATTGGTTCACCGCATCAAAACATACAGAAAAACTGCCCCATGGACCTCCCAAGGCAACGACATCATGCAAACTCTCAGTCGATATTACAGCAACACGTTTTCTGATGCCGAAAAACAGAACACCATAAATTTATTTTTGGGACTATTCACACCCGACGAATATAAACCTCCCATTTGGGATTACATTACGGATTACCACTTCCACCATAAGATTCATTTGTCGAAATCGGACCGCCCGCTAACCAGATGGTGGGATCCTGAAGTTATCAAGTGTCTGCCGTACTCTTACAACCACCTCACAAAAACTTGCTCGGAAATGATACAAGTCGAGTCTAGGGATGTAGAGATGATCGACGCGTACACCGACTATTACAGGCCATACGAGTTCAGTATGCTGAGTGAGTTATTTAGTTATAAGATTAGCAACTCGATTCGAGATTTCATGCCAAACTTTACCATAAATTATAGTCCGTTCACGATTAGGGTGCGGCCAGGCAAAGGAAGAGAGGAGAGTTCGAGTAAAGGGGGAAATATGAAGAATCCCTCGTTGACTGGTCTGAGTTCTACCGGATCTACCGCATCTAGCGACAGGTATTTAAAGTTATTTTTATCGTATTTAACACAAAAAAGAGTATGATGCCTACACTAAATAAACAGTTTTATATACATGAAAAACTCTTATATAATCTTGCTAAAAATTAAAAAGGGAATTAGGCATTAAATACGAAGTAAGTATAGCGTTCCATTTCAATTTTAAAGTAACTTAAGGGGTTCTGCAAATATAAACAAACAACTAACTTGGTCCGTGTAACAGTTTAGTTACATTTACAAGGGTTGAAGACCTCACTTGAAATAAAATTCAACTTCTGCGGCACTGGCAAAAATTTCAGGACAATTAATTTTTATTTTACCCACGGCCCATCTCATGATCACGTGTGAATACTTCTGAGATAATCCGTATCTAAAATTCATCTTTACCACATAATAAATTACTGGTACATTCTCCTGTTCAAAATATACATACCTCTCAATGCTAAACAAAATTTTAATCCAACCAAAAGAATGGTATCACTGAAATTAAATGCAAATGTTCCAATCAATGAAACAAAATAAGCAACATTCTTTGTTTGGTTTCGATTGTTATCCATAAATACAGTACAAAATCTGTTCATCTAAATAATTTTTCCGCAGGTTGATTTTTTTAGGAATATTAAAATTACTTCGAATAAAATACCTTATACAAATTCTTAAAAATAATCAACATTATACAAATAAAAAAATTCTCTTCTGGTAACAAATTGATATTGCTTATCCTTCCTTGGAAAATCCTGCTTCCTTTAGAAACATGGAAACAGATCACTTCTGTGGTATAGTTGACTTTCTGCCTCGTCCTGGAACGTTATCTTCGTGATGAATGCAAAACTTGGCGGAAGAAAAGTTCGTATAAATCGCGAATCGAAGCAAACTGGCAACAATTTCTCGAAACTAATACTCGAGATCGTGATTACGCCCAGGAATAAAATGGCAATGTTCTACTGTCTTTAGATTAATTTTGCGCAATTAATTAATTAGATTTTGTTGCAGGCAAATGCATCAATGAATTGTGTTTAAATTCCCTACCGTATGCCATTGTATACAAAATTTGATTTATCGCCATAAGGCGAGGTCCCATGACGTCACTCAACTTTGAGGAACTTAACCAGCTGTTATTGTTAGTGATCCGAAAAAACTTCTTTGTTTATCTCAGTTTATTTATTTATTATTTATTTATTATTTAGTATCCCTCTCTTGTTCTGGGCCCTCAACAGGCTTGCGCCCAATTACAGAGTGACCCGCATAATGCTTGTTAGAGGTGCCTCTGCAGAAGGTCTTCAGTTGTACTATCGGAGTAGCCAGTAGAATGCTCGGAACTGGTGTAAGGTAATTTCCATCTTTGTCACAGATGAAAAATTCACCTCAACCCAGGTTCGGACACCCGACCTCCGGATTTATAGCTCAAAGCTCTACCACTGAGCCATAAATCCAGTTTACTCGCGGTTTGGTTTCAAAAGCGTTCCTAGTGCTTGGAATTGTTTATTTGCGTAGATTTTTATCATTCGAAAATAAACGGCACATAGACCACTATGAATAAGTTATTTATGTATTTTTTGCCACAACTTTGAATGAGTCCATCAATTATACCCACCAAGAGGTTAGATGTAGACTCATGCCAGTCTGTCTAAATGAAACTGACATTTATTATTCTACAGTCACAATTTGACCAGATAAGGTATATTGATCCTACAATCAATTTTTTAGCTCCAATATGGCGGATTATGATAATAGTCCAGGCGCTAATATAGGTATTGAGCATGCACTGGAAGTCTAACGCAGTTTGACTTTTGATTATTGTTGGGGGCATATAGTGGATGAAAAATATCGATGTCGTCGCATTTCCGCGGTGGGCATACATGAGGGGGAGGGGGCAAAGTCGCGCGCGTTGCGTTTCACTTTATCGCTTCTAACTCAAAGATGGTAATAGTTAGAGCAATGATTGAAGCGGCTATTTACAGCTACTGATATTGGCTAAAAAAAAATGTCCTACGGATAAAAGTCGTACTTCTAAGCGTTTCGTTACAAATAAATTATTTCGGAATATATCCAAATCCACTGAAAATCATATTTGCCACATATTTCTTGAATCTGTAAGACAATTTTAATAGTGTCGTTTAGATGTCATAAGAGTAATTACAAAAGTACATAAGTATTGTCATAATATTTTAATTGGCATAATGTAGGAATCAAATTTAAATCTTCAAAAGATTGACCGATCACAAAAGAGCCATAATAAATAAATAAATAAAATGTTTAATCATCATCAGCATCAGTTTTGGTAATGTCCCCTCGAATTAGTTCCAATGTCTGCATATCCATCGGGAAGTAATTTTGGTAATCTTCAGAGTGATGATTCATCAATGGCGACCTGGCGTATTCCGAACAATTTATGAACGTAAAGGGTAAAAATGGTACTCATGCAATGCTCGCCAGCATTGATGTTATGCAAATCTCGAAGCAGTTCAGCCCTGCAAATGCAAAAACTGCTCCAAAAAAACATGTAACTGTTTATCAAATAATTCTTCTTGTTGTTCTTATTGCAAATGTGTTGATAAATGCAGAAACCCATTACAAACTAAAGAGTCTGACGAAGAGAGAGAAGGCGAGAAAGATTTGACTGGGTGCCCAAGTACGTGCTGGAAAATTGTAAAATTGACTGTATAAAATTATATATTTATCTAATAACATACATTATTAAATTTATCTTACACATAGGTATATGAAATGTGCATTAAATATGATTTCTGATCGAATTTAGATATATTCTAAAATAATTTATTTGTAACAAAACGGTTAGAGGTACAACTTTTATCCTTAGGGTCTTTTTTGTAGGCAATATAAGTAGCTGTAAATAGCCGTTTCAAGCAGTGATCTAACTATTACCGTCTTTGAGTTAGAAACGATAAAGTGAATCGCCACGCGCGGGACTTTGCTCCCTCCCCCCGCATGTGATGCCCACCGCGGAAATGCGACGACAACGATATTTTTCATCTACTTGATGCTCCCAACAATAATCAAAAGTCAAACTGCGTTAGACTTTCAATGCATGCTCAAACCCTTTAGCGCCCGGCCTATAAGTTGTCGCCACTGAGTTGTTACTGGGTATTAGCGTCCTCTATTGGGCAGTAGTATAAATATGTACTTTTCAAAACTTTTAATGAGGTTCAGTAAAATTACCCTTACGAATTGTGCAAACTGTAGTGGTTTAAATTTTTTGCAGCGACAATTTCTTGGTTATCTGGAGATTTTTATTAGTTCCAAATATTTTTAATTTCAAATTGACACAATAAACAACGAAGATGAATACTTTTGTGAACAAAACAAAAAGTAATATACTTAACATAAATAAATAGGTAATACAGATTAAGATTATAAGAAATTGTCGTTTTAAACAAACCTGCCATTTTTTGTTCCTCATGGCAACCTAATAGATGTCTGCAATAAAAATATTTTAATATGCAATATTGCAAATAATATTTAATATAAATATAAGTGACATCAAAATTTAGGAAATTTTACGCTTTGCTCTTGTCTGTCATAAACTCCAAACTATATAGGGTGGTCCATGTAAATAAATGTAATTTAGGGTCGTATAAAAAAACCAAACACACTGTATTGTCCTTGATAAGATTTTGTCAAAATCAATTATCTTTAATAATAAGAAAGTAATGAGCCGTTAAATACATTGACTAAATTCGCGCAACGCCCCCTAGTGGGCAAACGATTAGAGTTTGCTGAATTCTGTTTACGCTAGTGATTTTCTCTTTAAAATTGAGCTCCAGACACCTGGTTCCTTTTTTTATATCTTTTAAAAGTTAAAATAATGAGCGTTTCCATAAGAAATTATTGAATTTGGACCACCCTGTACTTTAATTTTGTGTATTATTTTTTCTATTGCTAAAAAAAGTTGGAAGGATCTTTCAACAATTTGTTTAGACTGCCTTGTTAATCTTGTTATTGAACATCAATAAAATAAACTTTTATTACTTCTTTTGAAAAAACAAGAGTGTAATCTCTTTCTCTATAATAGATTAATATTGTTCTAGTGAAAGCGCTGGTACCGATACTTCAAATGATGAAAGTAGCATATATACAAATGAATCTCAAATGACCGCATCAAGGGACAGTGGATCCAAAATAACATTTGACCTGCTGTTTCCATCGATGAAGCAAATGTACGGAACAGATGTGAACGACCCAAAACGAGCTGATCTGTTACTTTACACGAAGTAAGTCTTGCAAGGTGACAGTTCACAATTAATGTTTGTCTTACAGGTACATACATATTGGACGTAAAGCAAATGGTACAATTAGAAGTCTGTCTCTGGCTGGAATGCAGTTAATCCAACAAAAAAGTGTATTTTTAAATGATACCTCAATTAATGTTACTCCTCCACAGGTGCCACAGAATTCCATAAATATTTATCAAGATTATATTAACCTAGGTATTAGTGGAGGTGTAGTACCTAAGGCTCGTGATCTAGATATGTATAGGGATTATGTAAACTTGCAAGGAAAATTTAAGTGATTCTGTCATAGATATAATTCAAATTGTGATATTTGTTTTTTTAAGTACTTATAGGAAATAATGTATTCAACAAAATATATTATTTGTTGTAAAAATCCTTTAGCTCAGATGATATGTTATACTGGGTATAAACCCCTCACCCATGTGATCCATTGGCAGAATTGGTGGTATGAATATAAAATGTTGGTAGGCGTTATGAATTAAAATTTGGAAAAGTACGCGGCAAAATTATGTGTGATATTGGAAAGACAATTCAACTCATGTATAAAAAATCGCATAAGCCGCAGTGCAATTGTCACTTTGACAGCGGCAAAAGTTACCTGCATCTTTTCCAGCGACAAATGCACTAGTGGTTTTTTCACTATTCATTTTCGAACCAATTATCGCATTATCCTTACCCATATGACTAGTTTGACGTCTGTCAATAATTGATTAGTTTCGTGAATTTCTTGTTCGTTTAATTGTCCTGCCGAATTACACTCGAGGTTTGTATTTAAACCGAGTAAATTTGAGTTGTTGCAACTCAAATCTGTTTCCTTTTAGCAATTGAACTCGAAAAACTGTCAACCTAAAAATTTATTAGTTGACAGTTTTTCACGTCTAATTGCTAGGCAACGGATTTTCATTACCTAAACAACCCCAATTTACTCAGTAAAATACAAACCTCTTGTGCAATTATAAGTGATAAAATCATAATTTTATGAAAAAATCTAGTATAAGTAAATTCTATTCCTTGTGTTCTAAACTCAATTTAGACATTGTATTTTTGAGCGAGTTTAAAAAAGTGTAACATCTAAATTGAGCTTTAGGCCGCAATGTTTTTTTCTCTGCAGACACATTTATAAAAGTTGTCCTAAAAAACCTGAAAGCCTGGCTAAGAGCCCTTTTTCCGGCAGGTGTTCTCAAATTTTCCTCAAGCATGAGCGACAAACGAGTTAAAACTTTGGATGCTTTTTTCTAAATTTAAACGCTCCATTTTCTTCAGAAGATATTTGATAAAGTAGTGTCTGCAATTTTGCACCAAATGACTACTAATTCTATTACTATGTATCTTCCAATCTATTAAATAACCATTACAACAGGTTTCATGTACATAACTCGAATAGGTATCTGTTACAAAACGTGCCACACTTTGTAAAAACACAAGCAAAGTTTACTCTGAAGGTATTTTATTTAAAAGTAAATATAATTCAGCAATTCCAAGTCATCAAAATTATTGAAATCCTCGACCTGCAAGAAACAGTCTACTTTAGCTTCTTCTTTGGGCGCAAGTTATTGGTGTGTCCACATTTAGTTTTACGACAGTTGGTGGCTCTCGGATGTAATCTCGCGTAACATTTACGGCAAATCATCTTGTCACAGTTGTACTTTTGCGCTAAAATTCTGAGAGACGGTTCGATGATACCACCTCTGAGACGTAGCACCAAGTGAAGGGTCGATTCCTTCTGGATGTTGTAGTCGGACAAGGTACGTCCATCTTCCAACTGCTTTCCTGCGAAAATCAGACGTTGTTGGTCCGGAGGAATGCCCTCTTTATCTTGGATCTTCGCCTTGACATTTTCAATAGTGTCAGAGGGTTCAACCTCGAGGGTAATTGTTTTACCAGTAAGTGTTTTTACGAAAATTTGCATGGCGACTTATCTGGAACATAAGTGAATGTAAGAACATAACCTCAACGTATTGCATATCAATTACAACGAAATGTTAGACGAAGTATATTTTTAGAAATAGGAAATGCACAAAATTTTTACTAAATTAGAAAATTTATAATTAGAGTAAAAGTTACAGTATAATAAATACCTTGATCCAACGTGGTAGCCGCAACTTGACATAAAATAAAATCGAAAGACAAAAGACGACTACTTTATCGACAACTACTTGGATATCCGGTGGTGGCACTCGCATGCTTTTGTAAACGCGCCAATTTTGAAATCGGTGGATAATTTTGCGTTTTCTATACCTAGACCTACTGATGAGGCGCGTATGGAAAATGAAACAGAACTGCTTTGGAAAAGTTCAAATTTTTTGACCAAACAGACGGACGCGACAACGTAGTAGAAAGCTAGAAACACAAAAAACAGAGTCAGGAAAGCAAAATAAACGTTTTTTAGCGGTTTTTTTAAACAAAAATAAAAAAACGCGCTATACGTCCGTCTGTTCGTCGGTACGGCTGTTTCGCTTTTTCCGCTATTTGGTTTGTTAGGGTTTCGAGGTTGCATTTTGTATTGCTGTCTATCTGTTTGCCTATCTGCAAGTCTGTCTGTCCGTTTACACGATAAAGTTGTGTAGATACGCCCAATCGTTTTGAAAAATGGCACACATGTTCTTAAGGATAAAAGAAAGGTCTCTAGTTCAGCTTCGTAGACTATCGGGTCAAAAAGTTACAGCCCAAAAACTGCCCAGACCTCCAAAAAAAGGGTTTCTCTCATAATTCTTGTAAGGAATGTCCGGTGTTCTGTGCTAATAAATTTTCCTTAAACCTCAAGCAACTATGCAGATGGCAAAAAAATTGTACATGCGCATTCGAACTTTTGTACGAGGACTGATCAAAATAAACGGGATTTTATTTTTTTATTTAAATTCACTTATTGACAAACACAAGGCAATGACAAATTATTTTTCCACACAGTTTCCTGCTTTGGAAATGCATTTGTCCCAGCGTATGGACAGATTTTTGATGCCCTTATCGTAATCGGTAATCGGCCAGTTGCGCAGAACTACTTCCCATTGCTGTCCTTGCCTTTCTAAAGCTTCTTTAAGCGGCCCGAACAAGTAGAAATCGCAAACCCAGATCGCGATTAAGGGAGGATGATCAATTGAAGTTCAGTGCATTTCCTGTAGCTTGGAGACAGTGAGATCGCAGCAAGCGGCACCTGTCGAATCGGTTGGTCTGATATTTTGCGGCGATGTGTAACCCTCGTCTTGTTCAGCAGATCGCAGTAGTAAAGCAGCATATATTGTTTGTCGCTCATGCAAAAAATAAATCGGCAAAATGCCTCACTCATGGAAAAATCATTGCCATTCTGCCTCCGTCGAGTAGGTACCTAATACAGTTCGTCGATATTTGCCCACTCGTCTCGTGCGGATTGCAGTTCTTAGCAATGCGAGATATTTAGGGACCTTCTCATTAACATTTAAAATATGTTCTGATTGAGCGATAATCGATTTTCACATGAATAGGTACTTGCTATTGGCATTCTCACATGTACTTTTCGTGTTAAATTAATTTATGTTAACTGAAGGCTGGAGTAGAGCCACGCCATTTACATGTTTCCTATGTACCTACATGCCATTTATTATTTTACGAGTTGTGTTATCTCAATTGATTGTACATGTAGGTATTTTGATGTGTTTTTGTGCTGAATTGATTTATCAGTTTTTCCACTGCATTTATGATGTCTTGTGTATTTTGTTTTTATGAACTTGTTTAATTGCATTTGATTTGATTGTCTGATTTTTATCATACAATTTGAGATGTTTTATTGATGTGTATTTTCTCTTGCATTTTAGTGCTATAGGTGATTTACTTCATGTATTTGTGTGGCCTATGCCGGCGTTTTTGTCCCGTAGAAGGTTTCCCTGGTATATGGTCTTGTTGTGTGCGTAATATATTTATTTGCTCTTGTCATTTTTTACGCACAAAAGTTCTGTCTTTTATTTAATTCCCTTCCCGATTATGTCTTACGTCCCACCACATACAAGCAGGGTCGGACCTACCATTTTTTCTAGGAGGGGCAAGCTTCATTTTTGGCACCCCCCCCCCTCGATCCCAAACGATTTACAAAAAGGCATACTACTATATGAGTCGTATATGAAGTTGAAGTAAAACTTAAGGTTGAATTAGAAAGTGTTATTTTAATGAAATAAAAAAATTTCCCATTTTACATTAATTCAAACCAATACAAACAATAAAAAGGACCTAATTCTGGGGAGCGTGGTCGGGGGTGGCGACTTGCCCGTTGCGCCGTAGAAAATGTTGCCAACCCACGCCCCAAGTAGCACGCAATATATGGAAGCAATAATGGCTATAAACTGGCGCAACATTGATTTCATATTGTATTTTTATATTGCGCCAACATAGAATGTGAACGCTTTTAAAAATTGGGCCAATATAGTAAACAATATTGGTTCAATGTCATTTACAATATAAAACCAATACTGTTATACTACATTGGTCCGATCTCATAGTTACAATATCGGGGAAATATTGCAGCCTACATGGGACCAATATAGGATGTAAATGCTTTGTAAATGGGCCAATATTGTTGAACTATATTACCCCAATATAGAATGGAAATATTGGGCGAATAATGTAATCTATGTTGTACCAACATAGATTTTGAAAGCGGTGAAACCTTGATTCAATATTTTCCCATAAGGCCGAATCAATACTGTTGGACGATATTAAACCAGAGTGGTTCTACGTATGTACAACATAATAAAATAGCAGGTAAATTGAAAAGCGTAGGAAAACGAAATATCGAATTTATTCTGTAAAAAAAGAAAATGATGTAAAACTAAGATGTTACAATTAACGATTTATACTTTTCCCTTTCCATGTGACCCCCGTCCTATTCTGCAGCAGATGCCAAGATGTACTGAATTTAGAATTTTCACTCACGTAGACGGTGCTTGACATTAAAAACGATAAATGCTTATAAAGTTTTTATTTATCTTTATTTAAAAAATGGCGGCCCCATCCCATCATTTGGCGGCTGGCGCCCCCCTAACTCCGGCGCCCGGGGCACATGCCCCCTCTGCCCCCCCCCCTAGATCCGGCCCTGCATACAAGAACCGATTACACAACGTAGGAGTTCATTCGTGCCACCCATATTGATCCGACTGCCATCCAAATTCAAGTGTCGCAAAACGTCCATCGTTTCGACTTGAAAGGTAGGTGGCTCTGCTCGTAGTTTTTTGCCAGAGTTGCCAACGGTAAGTATAGGGTCAACGTTTTCAGTGTCTGCTTGATTGACCCCTTGGATCATTACATTATTGAATTTGTAAAGCAAAGAAAGGTTTATTGAATAATTGATCAAAGGTGTAAAATGAATCAAAATGCCAAAATTGTGCTGAAGGCAATAGGTACAATTTACAATAAAGCGAAGAATTATAATTAAAATTAAGATATAAAAATTGCGACCCTGTTGTGAAATGACAGCATTGTATTTAAATCTCCGGCTGTGCCTCTATATACGCCAACGGTACTTGTCGTTTGAAATTTTGAAAGCCGACATCTCAGAATCTTTATAAAAAAATAATTTTTCATTCAAAGGAGTCGAACTTGAGCCGCCCGAGTTCTATTCGCGTATCCTTGTCACAATTGTGGCATCCATTACATCGTGACTGAATTGAGTTCGCATTCCGAAATAGGTGAGGGGAAACGAAAACCCCTTGATTATCACGCCAAATTGTCTAGAAAGTGTCACAACTCGGAAAATAAGTCATAATTGCCTTCAAATACAGCGCTGATGTTGCGGCTGATTATCCGTTGTTTAGTCGCCTTCTACAACACGGGGGGAGGGGGGGGGGTATTTGTTAAAACACAGAGTAGGTTTTTTTGAAATAATGTGTATAGAAGTAGTGAAGTAGTCTTAATAAAAAAATTGTTATCATCCAATGAAGTTTGTGGAAAGTTTTTTTAACGGTTTGTCGGTATTAAAAAAAAACGAGTCAACAAAGCGCCGTTTGTGCTTAGTGAAAGTTTTTATTTTTAAGACAAAGTGAAGTGAAGCCAGTGTTTTGTGTGTTTTTGATAAGTGCGCCCGAATATCTCAAACCACTCACGACCAAATTATTTAGATCTTTTAAAAGAGAAAAAAAAACTTAAGGAATTCTAAGATTTTCTTAATTTGTAATTAACGAACGCCTGAATGCGGAGTAATTTGCTTTATTCGCTTCTCTTTAGTCAGGGTTTTTTAATTTAATTTTTGCATTTAATGTGTTTCGGAATAAATTTTTGTTAATGCAAATCAATTAATTGTGTGTTTAGTTGAACCTATTGTGCGACCCGGATGCGTAATGGCATTGTTTACTACGGTGCAACGCACTACCAGGTTGCACTGCAGTAAGGTATGGCAAAATGTACGCTGCGTTTGCTTTGGCAATCCTTACTGCTTTACAACGCTGTCGGCTGTAGTGTAGTAAGCTTTGGCCGCAAAGAAGGCGATAGTTAGTAAGACCTTTGAATATAAAATTCAAAGGTAAGACATTGTTTACTGCACTGCAACAGAAATGATCTATGCAGATGCGAGCGCTTATTTCGCAAATAATTAAAATTGTTTAGTTTTAACTTGTTGGGGCGCAGGTTTTTTGTTTGGAAAAAATTATTTACGCATCTATCTAGTACACGGTGGAGGGAAGGTACCAATATGGTTCTTTTGTTTTATTTTATAGCTATTAGTAGGTAGCATATATACCTACTTTAATTGGCTCTTGTATTTCCAATATTACCTACAACTATAGCTTGACCGAACCGATTCAGCACCTACATGGAGTTGAAGAGTGATTTAAACATTTCGAAAAACTTAGAGACGTTGCAAAAAATTGCAGAACACCCGAGATGGCAAACGGCATGTTGAAATTAAACAAAGTCCTTAGACAAATTTCGACTCCGATGCAAATATTAAATTAGGTACATTCACAGCGTTAAACAATCCCAAGGAACCCGTAAAATAGGAGTTCAGGCCATTGCATTCAGCCGAAGAAAATTACGTCCTTCTGCGTTTGAAAACAATCAAACAAAAAAACGACGCCACAATCTGGGGCTGAACATAACACATACTATGTAATAGACCAAATGCAAAATGGCATTAACATTTTTTCGTGTTTTAAATTTGTGAATGCATTCAGTTATTAAAGGTAATTAATTTTTCTTATTCTCATTGTTTATTCTTTCTTAACCCACTACTCTTCAGTCGTCACTTGTATATGGTTACAATAAATCAAGCACATTGTTTACAGCGTAGTAAATAATGTCCTACAAAACATCGCCTTCTTAGGGGTCAAAGCTTACTACACTACAGCTTACAGCAGCGTTGTAAAGCAGTAATGATTGCCAAAGCAAACGCAGCGTACATTTTGCCATACCTTACTGCAGTGCAATCTGGTACTGCGTTGCACCGTAGTAAACAATGTCTTTACGCGACCCGGATAGTGTTCAATTTTTCTTTTTGTATCTAAAATTTCCTTCAGGTGTTGATGAAAATTGGTGTAGTAAATTCTTTAGAATTTTGGAAGTTGATCACCCACTGAGTCTCCCAAATCATTAATTTACGTCAATATTAGGACTTTTTTTGTAGCATATGCCGGAAGTGTAGAAAAATTATAAGTTTCAATTTTGATTTGTTTGAGATAGCTGGGCAGGCGTTTTGAGGGTACGTGTTGTAGTTGACCGCATACCAGTGCACATAGCAATATCAATAAAGATCTAACGAAAATTTAAAAAATCGAATTGAGGAAAATACGACTAGCTCCCGTTACACTGGTTGGTCAGTTATTTCTCACACAGCATACAAAGTGTTCAAATGTCACGCAGAAGTTTCGGTCTACTAGTTATCAATTAAATAAATGTGACTGGCACCCCACTATTCGTCACTAAAAATGTAAAATTAAATGTTGTTGGATTGAGATTTTAATAATAATAAAACAAAATAGTATAACGAATGGCATAATACAATATAGTTATATCAAGGGTAGTTGATACTCGACTCCCATGTTGAATACCTACCTATAGGGAATAAATTAAGTGTTCTTGCTAATACATTGTCAATATGCACAAATTCCACACGAATTGAATTCTGCTGAAGTTCAGCTTGAAGTACGAAATTATGTGCGAACGCGCTGTCGATCGGCCAACGTTAATTAGAACTATTCCATGTCAATGGTTCAATTGGAAAATACCTACTTCGTCGGTATTTACATCACTGAAATCGCGATGATTGTATTTTCCGGGAAAATTTAATGAGGCGGCTCGATCTAGAGAAGATGCGTTGCCGTGGTTACGGTCAAGGATGCGCCTCAAACAAAAAAAAGGCCGTTGTGTGCAGACAATGTTCGAAACTCAATCATTAAAAACGGAGAGCAAACACTTTATTGTCAAGTCCAATACATGCGTGCGGTACACATTGGAAGTGGTGTATATCTGCAGGTATTTTCCCTTAATCTAAATGATTATGGACACAAGAAATGGGTCCAATAATTGCCACTTGGTGACTAAATACTTAAAATTAAGCGCTTAAAAAGCATATCACAATGAGTATTACCAACAATTTTCAGTATAATAGCAACAATAGGATAACACCGTAATGAATCAAAATGTTATATTCTGCATGGCAGTTGCAGTAGATAACATTTTTCAATCGAATGCTTTCATTCCAAAAAGGCCTTAACCTTTCGTAGAGTGATCGGGCAATTCTTTTAGCATTACTTTGTAGTAGTCATGCGGAGACTCAACGTCGTACAAAAGATTCCCTTTTTCATCCTTATAATCCTTGTAGCGAACAGATTTAGCCACAGTTAATCCCAAGCGTTCACAAACCCTTTGTGTAAATAGACTTGTTGCGTCTGTCTTGATAATCTGCAACATTAATAATAGACTACGTAGATTATCTTCAAAAAGATTTATGCCGAAACGTTTAATCAATTGCCAGCATTTTTTTAAGTAGGGCGTTATATGATTATATAGCACTTATTTCTCGCAATTGTCATCCATAACTTTCATTCAACAATTTAGCCAATTTGTTTGACGCAATATTTGAATGATAAAATAGTCGCTCAATTAACTATATAATACCTTAAATCCATACTCTTCCGCTATTATTTCGCTTCGCATAAATAGCTCTTTGGCAATTCCTCGTCCACGGCATCTCGAATCGACCGAGAGAATCCTCAGCTCAAATATCTTATCCACATTGTACTTTTCAAATAAGTTCAATTCGTGGTTAACGTTAAATAATAGTCCAAAAATAAGGCGAAATTCTCTACTGTCGGATTCCTCTACCTCCTTCAGACCCTCCTCGTTATCTCCCTGCCGGGCAATTCCATTTAAAGCGACGCCGACTATCTGGAAAATAATAAAGCTTTATTAAACGAAAAGGGGAAGAAAGAATGCCAGTTTCGTGACATTCCAGCAAAGGTTATTGGAAACACGCGCCGCGGGCGGTTTGATTGTTTCAGCGTATCCTCGGTTGGCGTACCTCCCCTGTATTCGAATCGACAGCCATAACCGATAAACCATCCTTTAGGGTTAATAGATTGTGATGTTCGAACGCCTTGCACTCCTCGTCATGCTTGCATAAACCCACCGCCACGTTTAGGGGTTCGTCTGGAAAGTTGTGGCGTAAATGCTGTATGACCTCCTCGTATTTCGTAGGTGGCACTGGTCCGTATTCAAACTCCATTCTTCTGGAAATAAATTGGTTTGTTAGTCTATCTAAAAAATTTACTGAAGGCTAAAGCGGAGTAAGGATAAATTTCTGCGCACAGATGCGGAAATAATCTTGAAGCGGTGGAAACATTATTTAATGCTCTTAAGGAAAACATTTTGATTTATTGTCAAGTCGGAAAGATATTGCGAGAATTTCAAAATGAAAATCTTTGGATAGGGAACACGATATTAAACGTTCATGCGGCATATTTTAAAAAAGCGAAATTGTGCTTATACATATATTCACTATGTTCGTATATCCTCAACCTTCTATCAACAAGAAGAGTGTAATTGAGGGGGCGGATGTGTGGTAAAATGCAAATTTCTATACCTCTACAATCAGTTTCACTTCCACTTGAGCTGAGATCGTGTCGTTTTGGTTGCATCCGTCCAAAATGATAGAAGTATAAATTGTGCACAGGTCTTGTGCAGATAAAGCGCATTGTTTAAACCGAAATAGTGTTTGTTTTGACATCACCAATGGATATATTTCGTGCAGACGTTTCAATCGCCCTGTGTGAGTACCGTCTTCCGACAATCCGTTCTTGAGGTATAAGGGAATATACCCGATCACGATAAGAGGTTGAGGAGGAGGGCTATGGTTGGTAAAAATTAATTCCTTTCGTTGAGACCTCTCATTAGAGTACCATGAAGGATAAAACTAGTTCCACTCCACCCCCTATCTATAGTCTACTCCGTAGTTTGATAAGAGGACAGAAAGAAGGGCAGTAGTAGAAAACGGTTCCTTCCGTTGAGACCTTTAATTAGAACACAATGAGATCAAATTAATTTGTAACCCCCCCCCCCTGTCCCCCCTCAGGCCCCGTCACTCACTGATCTCTAAAAAGAGTCGCACGGGAAAGTTATAGTTTGTACAAACCAATTTATTTCGTTGAGACCTTTCATTAGAATACCATAAAGGGTAGGGGATGTCCCCCCCCCCCCCTTTTCTAAAAGTTTAACGTGGCACCATTAAAGGCATGCGTATGCAAAATCTGAGACCAATTGGTTGTCGTATGTAAAAGCTATGCACGTTTTACTTTCAAAAACAGCATCTCAGGAAATAATTCGTGGGGGGGCCTCTCTTTTAGACAGCGAAATTTAATGGCCGTCTGGCACACTTTCAAAGTATAGGCTACCTACTGCAAAAAATTCGAGGACTCTAGGACCATTCCCCTAGAGGTAGTTCAAAACGGACAGAAGTGGGTTCGGACGGACGGACGGACAAAACGCAAACAATAGCACATTTTTTTTAATTGTTAACAAATGCGCTAAAAAATTAACGCACTAATTACGTAATCAGAACGTGTATTGGTTTGGTGTATTGGTATTCTGTTAATAACAAAATTCGAAAATAAAAATTATCTTTTCTTATAGTTTATTGTTGTTATATTGCAAAGTTTGGCCGCCGCAAACAATAATTTGCCGCGCTTGTACAGTTTTTTAAACTTTAAACTTTTTATCGTTCGATATGCGCTGTATCTTTTTGTACGGAAGTAAAATCATCTCATCCTCGCACGCATTTGAATGGAAATATCGCACTAATATCGTTGATGTGTCTTTGGAATTGGCTAGTGAATAAATGAGATTTTTAATTATATATTTATTAGTTCGTCGCTTTTATAAAACAGTATAAGCAAAGAGGGTCTCACGATACACTTAGGTATATTGTGGGCAGTGTAATTCGAGCAGTTAGTAAGGCCGCAATCTCCGGATGGTGGAAGTCGCGGGTTCGAACCCAAGTGCCCGCGTGTTTTTTTTTCTATAATACATCGCTGATTCGCGGCTAAAAGAAGGGAGAGAAGGAGTGTGAAGGAGAAAGAAGTAGTCATTTCTGTTGGCACTCACCAAGTGTCACTTTTTTATGTAAGAAGCCTTTTTCAAAAACTTCCGATTGATGCAACTCCTGATTTTTTATTAGCCGTAATCCATCCACTCCCATCTTATAAGCCCCCCATGCACACGTAAAGTCATTTGAAATGAAATCCAAACTCATTGGGCCACGTTTATTAACAAAAGTGGCCAAGAGAAATCGGTGGAAATTATGCCAGGATACCGCAAATACAAATAACGTCGCAAATTTACCGAGAAATGTACCGTGCTCCCATGGTTTTGAAAATGCATGGTTCGTCTGGTTCCAAGCTTCAAGGAGAGCGGGTAATACATTCCTCAGTTTTTTTGCGTGGCGTTGTGTTTCTATTGTTTCAAAGTCAACTTGGATGGATATAAATATTGAATCTTAAATGAGTGCATGTGCGCCTTATCGTCATATCTCTGGTGAGGAAACATACCTATATCAAAATTGGGTTTTTACTGGATATATTCACTTTTTCATCTGATTTGATAATATCATTTAATAATCATATCACTCTATTTGAAATTTTCAAGAAAACCTGCAAAGTTTATGAGAATGACAAACCGCGCCCTCTACGAATCATCACATTTACTAAAAAGACCTGAATCATATAAAATTACACGAAGAGAGCTCTTTCCTATAAAATCAATTAAGTATGTGAGAAGTTCCATTCAACTACTTAAATAGATGTGCCCCCCCCCCCCCACTCCTCGTATCGTATGAGCTACAACAATATTTGCTGCATGCATGTTTTTTTATGCACTTTTGTTAGGTATGTTTAACCATGAATATTACGTTCTCTAGCGGCAAACCTACAAAATTGAAAATAATTTCCAGCGATTTCTCTTGGCTGCTTTTGTTAACAAATTTTTTCCCCAAGCTGTGCAATTAACGGTTCCATAGATATGGCCTATGGCCTTTATTAGTAGGACACCATGTACCTCCGTTGCAATTAAAATTTAAACCAAACAAAGCGATTATTTAAACAAAATCAACATTGACTTCAAATTCGAATAATATGATCGAAATAATTGTGTTAATCGTAAATTAGCAACCACATTTAATGTCAAAAATAAATGAAATTAGAAACATAGAGGGTGACCCAACATTACTGTAGGTGCTGAAACCAGATAAAACGTCCGCATAACGTAGTTTACGCAATAGGTATACCCAGACAGACCTGTATTTAACTTTAATTCGTTCTGTGATTTACGTTACTTAGCAGCCGTAAGTCTATTAATAGTCGTTTTGTTTGGGAAATGTGTGCTCTTCTTTTCATCAATGTAGCCTCAATACCTTCTCCATCTCTAATACTGCATTTCTCTGGGTCTCCTGAAGGCGAATACTGCTGAAGATTTCTGTATTTTTGTACGATTACCTTTTCTTGTCCAATTGATAGGGATATTAACCGTCGTATGCTTTTAACCAAGTTTACGATCTGGCGATGTATCTATTAATAGCCCTTCACTCCAAAGACAAACCGAAACTGATTGAGGTAGTTTGGTCGGATTTTCGTTAAAATTCAGTAAATTAATCAACCCTTTCAGTAAAACCAGCGTGCGGTAGATTTCGTATCTAAAACTATCAAAAAAGTATAAAGGTATGAGGCGAATAAAGCCAAAGTATCGAGTGACGGTTTCAATCTCTTACAAAATTTCCTTTTGAGAGCGGAAGTTTTAAGAAACAATGGGTTCGCGATATTTTGTCTCCCGCAAAACTTCGATGTTCGCAGTTGATCCGCTTCACTTCTGCACTAATAATTTCGAATTCGCACTTAAGATTATGGACTGACGAACCAGTGGCGTAGCATGCCCAAATGGCACCTAGGGCAAGGATTAAAATTGCACCCCCTTCGTAAATTACCTTAATATAAAACAAGATCAGAAAAATAGCATACGATTTTCAGTAGGGGAATTTGTTGTGCAGTGTCGTATTCGAACGAACAAGTGCATCCTTCATCGTCACCCCTTGCGCTCATCACTGAATCCATGGGATTGTTTGATATGAGGTTGTTTATTGTGGTTTATTTTGATTTTTAAATTTAATAACTGAGAATTTTAGTAACCCCTTTTGAAAGGCACCCAAAGGGACGTGCCCTGCTTGCCCCACCCTAGCTACGCTTTTGTCGGACCTAACGAATTTGGCACCTAACTTCAGTTATTACCGGTTTATTTGACTTGAGCTCTCACAAGGTTTCGCGCGAAAAAAATAGTGTGGGGTTTCCGTAGAGAGCTTTATACGCAAAACGATTATTTAGGACTAGATTTAGGACCACGCTCTGGATCTAAAACAGAATACCCCTATCACTATCTCTCCTGGTCGCGCCCCTTTTTTTTTAGGTTTTCTAACACGCCTACAAAATGGTGCGAATTTAAGCAGTAATCTTTAATCATTAACTCACTTTCCTTGACATTTGTAGAGTGTGTCATCTCCCTTAACCCACCAGATTTCAACGCCATTGCGGGTAATTCTGATTCATATCATCATATAAAATAAATTTTGACAGGTCCTTAATCGATCACGAGTCACGACGCATCCGGTAGCCAATATACATACACAAAAGATATATTCATTGGTAACTAACAATTTGAAAGTAACACAATTTTACATCAAGATAGTGACATAATCTTACTATTGTGTATTTTGTTATAATACACGGTACAGGGCGGCCCATATCCAGTATAGGATTTAATGGATAACTTTGTTATTCATGAAGATAAAAATTAAATTAAATGACCCAAGTTTCGTAGTTGCGTGTGCGAATTAAAATTACGTTTAGAATATTATTTAATAATTCGTGCACGATTTAAGTTATTTAAAAAAAATACGTATATTGTGAGTTGCCTACAGTGATATGATATAATAGGAGGGGAGCTGAGCCACCATTGTTTAATTGAATAATGGAGCTATAGTAGCGACATCTAATACATAAATCCACAAGGGTAATTTTACAGTTTTGAAAGGTACCTACATATGCTTATACTGATGCTCAATAGAAGGAGCTACCTACACTAAGTCCACCCGCCATGTTGTGGCAAATTCAAACATAGAAGTTATCATGATATATAGATTAAACATATGAATTAAAAGAAATTACCACTGGAATACTTTAATAATTGAAGATATTGGTACATTGTAGATATATTGAAGTTTTCCCCATAATGGCTACCGCGTTCTTCAGCAACAGGTTCATAGCTCTCCGCTTATCCGTTACGTTGATCCGTCAAGGAGCCCAGTAATCCGTCCACCTCATACGAAGCATAACCACAACCTAAATTTTATTTTGTACTGTACCCACCGTGATCTTCAGTAGATACGTAGAAATGTATGAAAGTAAGAACACTTTGCTATCTGATTAGTGATTATTATTAATTCATAATGGTGCCTATTCTCCAAATGTGTCAACAATGTAACAAACATAACCTCACACTTGTTACGGACCAACGGAAACGTACATGTTCAACTTCAACCAAACTTTTCCGTCGTAAACGCACAAGGTGGATTTAAAAATGTACCTACTGTCTTTTGATTGGCTATAAATGGACAAACGGAAAAATGAACGGAGAGCTATGAACCCACCTTAAATACCAAAATAAGTTAGCAATCTGACCTTTGTTCCCGGTACTGCGTTAATAAGATAATGCGTGGAAATAGAAATGGGAAAAAATTTGTTTGTGCTCATCAGGCCTTAAACCCTCAGACAGACAGGCGAGCAGAATTCCCTTAGGAATAAGCGTGTCTTTCTAGAAAAATAATCTACAATCTAACAATCGTCAAACATCAACCAATCATGTAATTATCTATAGCAGATGATCCAATACCATAGAGGAAATACAATTTGTATTTACTCTATGCCCCTCTATACCAATACCAAATAAAAAGCTTTACCTACAGTGTTCCAATGAGATAAAAAAGTTAAAAGTTCGTTCGTGGGTGAAAGGGCATTTTAGTTAATCTAAATTTGACTGTATACGGTATCGGTTCTTGTCAGGGTTCTTGTAGTCTTATTTTCTATTGGTAGTGCAATTTCTACCGACGTAAAACTTCCCGCAATTGACACATACTTATTTTGTGCATACGGAAAAGTACATCTTTAAATCCCTATCCAGCTCTGGCACGTACAATTAGAATCGATGTTTGCGCGAATTAGAACAAAAAATTGTTCTTTTGCATTGAAACGTAATTCGAGGAGAGTTATCCAATTTCCAACTACAAAAGAAAGTACATTACTTTGTAATTGAAGCATAATTCAGCATTGCAATAGCGTTTATTTTAAACCGACACTATTACATTATATACCAACACCTAGTTACCTTTTTAGGAAAAAACCCTATCATTTTTGAAAGCAGAATTGAAGAGCCACTTGAATTAAAAAAAATTAATTGTGCGTAAACTAAAAAATGCAAGGGGAAAAATACAAAGGAGGGTAATTTGATGTTAAAATTCTGCTTTTGTATTCGCTCAGAGAAATATTATATTTTCTCGGTTCAAGTTCTATCAAAAGAATAAAGTTTTCCTAAGTTTGATTCCCGCAAACTTTTATCGGGAGCGCACATCTACCCATTTCGCATACATAAAGCCGCATTTTCATTTGTGCTGAAAAGCGTTAACTAAGTAAGCCGTAATCTGTTTTATCTCCTACCTGTTTGTAGACGACGTGTTAACAACGAAACCACAAGTGTGCGATTGCTGAACTATCTACAGCTGGAGGATGTAGGGAGAGCCTTCGGGACCTTTCCCTTGCACTGTTTTACCCAATACTAAGCGTGATCTCGATTACTTGGTTGCATTACTTCCAGCAACGCCTGGGAATAGCTATCCAGCTCCTGACTCATTTTAATTAAGCTACGAAATTTACTACTTAATCAATTTATTAAAAAGTGGAGCAAATTATTTATCGCACCAACGTCAATTAAAATATTCACACTTTCCGTTTAAAAACCGTTCGGTAAATTTAATTAATACTTAGGTACTAATTGGGCCCCGCCGCTTCTTAAGTAAATAATAGAGTTTACATATTGCACAAATCGGGCTTTATTAAACCATAATTAACACTTGCATTTAATTGAGTGTTAGAAGAAAATTCGACCAAATGCAGTTTAATCTAAAGTAGTCTATCCTTCAACAGTAAGATGATATTTTTGCTTGCTTGAAAAATGGTATTTTCTAACTCATTTTTACTAAGGACCGAAGGCGCTTCAAACTGACAGTATTTGATACAACTCTATAAAATTCCCACGGGAATATGCGCCACCAAAAGAACTCATTCCCGAATTATATTCGGAACATTCAGGTCCGAGAAATAGGTAGGTAATAGGTATATAATAAAGGCAAATAAATAATTAAAATATATGTGCGGCACCAAAGGCGGCGTATGTACAGGGTGTTTTATTTTCAACATTTTTATATGGTATCGCTGTAGTTGTTAGTGCTGGCTATAACAAACTAATACAGGCGCGCGTCATGTACTCTTTTTGGGTCAAATTTAAAATGGTAGAATTAAAATTTGAAAATATTCGTTTGCTCAAGAGATACGGGGAAAATCAAAAAATTGTCAATTTCAGAATGACCCTATACTTTTTTAGTTAAAAGACATACATAAGCATGTTTTATACAAAAGTTATAATGAATGTTGAATAATATGCCGTTTTGAAAATATGAAAACGGGGTCAGCAAACAAATGATCGTATCTAACCTTATTTTCTTAAATGTAACACTCTGTATACCTACAGAGATACAGCTGTGTGCTCCAGGTTGGGCGCCAAATGCAATGGTAAACTGTCACCAAGCCTGTTAAAATCCAGCATCGTAATTTGGACTTAAACTGATTTAAATCTGTTCATTTAAATTCAACACAAATTTATACGATATTTGCTGTACCTAATAGATAGCGAGTGGCAACAGTGCCAACGACAAATACCACGCTACAATAAGCGCTTGATCGAAACAAACTCAACTATGTTTTAATTACCTTGTAATGTCAATAATCCAACTATCCAGTCCGTGAATTTCCATTAAACAGACACGTACAAGAAACACAAACCGAGAAAACCAGGCGCACGGCTCCAACAAATGAACCCGACTCCACCCACCGGCAAAAGGCACGGCGGCCATCAAAATACTTCGTCTTCTCTTTAAACTACTCCCCTCTCTCGTCTCAACGTCGATTCCCCCACCTTATTCTTTAGTTAAAATAAACAAACATTGATTGCTATCTAATAACGCACACCCGCGAAAAACATCTGCTTACAAAATTAATTATTTTTTCTGGATAAGCGCAAACCTCATCTACGACCGGAGAAAAACATGAGATAGATTTTTCAAATATGATGCAAAGAATATTTTTCTTATTTTACAACATGTAAGTAAATTCCTAGCAATTAAATAAACAAAATTAAAAAAATTACAATACGGCTATATAAACAAAAATTAAGCATCTTCCAAACATTTACAAAGTAATATTTTAATCCAAAAAAAGCATATATATTATATTCTCTTTTCAACAATATACCTAACACCCTGGATTGAAATAAAATTTTCAGGGTGTTCTATTTATTATTTGACCCCGTATACTTATTTTGAAAACACCCGATTATGCAACAATCATTATAAAGAAAGCTGTGTATGTATCATTGTTTTGTCTCGTTTAACTCAGAAAATATAGGGTCATTCTGAAACTGACAGTTTTTTTCAATTTTTGCTCGTGTTCGTTAATGAACGATTATTTGCGAATTTTGATACGGTGACTCAAAAACAGCACATATGACGCCTAAATTACTTTTTTGATAGCACTAACAATTACGGAGAAACCCTATAAAAGTATCGAAAATGGCACAACCTTACCCAATATATTGTTTCAAGTCGAAAAACCCCATGCGTTCAAAAAATGGTCGCCTAAAGGCTAGTTCTGATGGCATCCGATGTCCGACGTCCGACATCCGATTCGGAAATTTTTTATCGGATAAAAAATATGCCAGTTCACATGCGTCCGAATTTCGCAAAATGTTTTAGTGACAAATCTAGAGAAATTTCACTGAATTTTAGTGTCGTTGTTAAATAATGGCACACCTGCGTGTTTTTAAATGTCAACAAACCTCAAATTTATGTATTTCTATTTTAGTATTTTTCGGATTTCATTTTACATTCAGAAAATCAGAAGTTACATTTACGTTATATAAGTACTTTTGGTGGCAAAAGTTGTAATATTCAATGTCCATTATAACAATTTCGATGTCAAAACAAACAAACTTGTAAGTTAGAATTTCGTCCGATTGTCGGAAAAGTTAAATTCATTTCAACTTTGTCCGACGTCGGACGAAAGTTGAGAATTCGTACCCGCAGTTTAGCGCTAACATATTTAAAAAATTTTCAACCAATAGGAACGCATTCGGATCGTCGGGGACGTCGGACATCGGATGCCATGAGAACTAAGCTTATAAGTATTGCTGGGTTCAAAACTTTTTGTCGGCCCAAAGGCCAAAATGAAGGACTATGAGCCAGAGGCGTAGCTAGGGCGGGGTGCCCTCAAAAGTGGGCGTTAAGTATTTGGTTGCGTAATTACACTGGGCGCATTTTAAATCCTTGGAAGTCTTGTGTGCATTAACATAACATGCTTTTTTAAACTGTATTTATTAGTTGCATAGTCACACTGGGCACATTTTATATACTTGGAACAAGAGATGCATTTTGAAACTCGATTTATATCTATAGTTGCAACATGTTGCACTGGACACATTTTAATTCCTTGGAAATCGTGTGTGACAACAGATTAAGATGACCTCTTTAATGTCGGTTGAGTAATCGCACTGGATGCATTGAAAAATAAATTCCAGGAAACAGCAGAAGCTAAACGTGCCACTGGTAGGAGTACACAAACCCCATTACTTTATTTATGGTAGAGCCCAGTTATCCCAATGACGTCACGAGCACATGCGCATAGGCATACTTTGCCTTATTTTTTCTTGTACCATGGCCCAATTTTTGAGTAGGTACACTACTCACTAGTCACCAGTATCCATTGTACAACCACAGCATACAACTCTTATAGCGTTTTCGATTGGCAAAACTCGTGCTGCACGAGTGCAATTTTTACGTTCTATTGGTAGTTTTAGGGCAATTTTCTGTGTTCCATTGGCAAATGTGATGCAACAATTACGCACTAAATGCAAATTTTGACGCACGAGGTCGGAGCAAATTTTCAAAATAAATGTGCGCCAATTTGAATTTGTTTCTTGCGTTGGAGAGTTTTTTGTTATCATTTAGCGATAGCGAAGATGATGAACTAGCCATATAACTTCTACTTTACAAAAAGTTGCATTTACTCTTTAAAGTGAACGCCAAAAATTGGTTCTTTACAGGAATTTCAAATTTATATTCCTCATTGTTTATCATAAATAATAGTGAAATCGTTTCAGTCATTTTTTAGAATACAGATTTGTCGATTACCTAAATCATTGTATAAATACAAATCTAAAATGAGGTTATGGACAAATGTGAAATGACAGCAAATATTTACGAATATTTATGTTCCATTGAGAGCAATTTTCACATGGATTTCTTCAGTTTCTCGTGCAACACTCGTGCAGTACGAGTTTTGCCAATCGAAAACGCTATTAGACAGTACATGAACTGCTATTTGACCTTCCATGCTATCAGCACAAAATGGGTGATCACGGATAGGGGGCACTGTAGTCGTGGGAATGTGAATCTCAGGGTAAACTATAGGTCGGATCGCGTACAGAGCACTACAGCAAACGCGTAGTGCGGGAAGCTTTTTAAATAGGTACACTTCATCATCTTCTATGCGTTCACAAATGAGAACAAGGTTGCTTTTTTTGCGTTTTTAGACGATTAATTTGTTAGCGTTCGTTAATTTAAACTTGGACAGTCTCAAATCGTGTGTCTACTTCGAACAGACTCGATTTACCCTGAAACTCACATACCCACGCGGCGATTATTGACCATATTTTACTTGTAGTCCCATGTATACAGGGTGGTGACTTGCATCACGAATCATAGGGATTTCAATGTAAAATTCATAACATGCGATTATTGGCTCCCCAAATTATTTTAGAGCAAAAATGTATTAAAGTTTTTTGTAGAAAAACATTTTTTACGTCAATTAACCGTATTAGTTTTCAATTTTTTGCATAATAAAGACGGAATATTGGAAAAATAAAACCCCCATCTTTTTCAATAATCTGTGATGCCATGGAATTTTATAATACAAAAACTACGCCAATATCCGTCTTGCCATGGAATGTCTGCTATGAAACAAATCAAATTCTATCAAAAGGTATGATATTTAGAATAGCGAATTCAACATAAAGAAAGACCAATTTACTACAAACGGTTTCCTAATATAACAATTTGCAATAAATGTTCGAATAAGTCACCATTAACTGCAATACAGTAACCAAGTCTATCATAAAATCAATTTCGAACTGCTGCTGATTGACAACTGGATATCTTTTTGTTTTAGAAAATTCCATGGCATCGCAGATTATTGAAAAAGATGCTGGTTTTATTTTTCCAATTTTCCGTCTTTATTATGCAAAAAATTGAAAACTAATACGGTTGATTGACGTAAAAAATTTTTTTCTACAAAAGACCTTAATACATTTTTACTCTAAAATAATTTGGGGAGCCAATAATCGCATGTTATGAATTTTACATTGAAATCCCTACGATGCGTTACGCAAGTCACTACCCTGTATAATATGGTCTAAGATACAACTGCCTAATACACGTAGGGAGCAGAGCCACATCTATATCTTCAGTAAGGATCTCTCAAGATACTTTTTATCACAGTGGTATGCCTGCTTTGAAAATTTAACCTGCTTCACAAACAAGAAACAAACGTAACGTATGGCTCTAAGGAATTTTTACGTATTAGGGCTACATTTAATAGCACCTTCAAATAGAAGTTTTTGGTGGTTTTCATTGGGTCATTTTTCTGTTGTTCCGTTTGCAGGTGGGGTACAAATTTTTCTTAAGCCCCATTCAGATAGGTGGTAGTGCAGTGCTGTTGCAGTGCCTTTGTATAAAAGTTTGAAATACGCATTCTCATATGACCATTCACAATGACGTGCGGGGTGTAGACGATTTGCAGCTGTGTGCCGAAAGTATGTAAACTTCAAACTTTCTGCACTACAGTTAGCACCAATAGAAACGCAAGATCTCTCAATGCTAATTTGCTGCTGCCGTTGTTGTTGATTGTTCATATTTGTGTAGGCGGGCCATTTTTGTGGTGATTGTGAATGCAAATGTCAACATAACAGCACCAGCCTGCACCACATAACAAGGCAATGGATCTGAATGGGGTTTTAGACTTTCTTACACCTATTTCTTGTTAAAAATGTTACCAAATCACTTTCTCACAGATACCTGACTCAAAAATCACAGTTGAAGTACTGCCAGGGGATTGGATCTCAAAATCGTGTTACAGCTTATTGCGGAACAAGATATAGTAATTTGGCTATACAGAAAAAAGCTCAACCTGTGGCAGTTGATGTGCAATGCTATTAATACTAGCAAGTTGTGAAACTAAACTTTTATTTCTAATAACTAAACTTCAAAAACATTAAACTTGGGAACTGTTAGGCATGTATGCTTATTTTATAGTGATTTTCTCCTAAAGTACTTCGCTGTTGGATTTGTTCAGCTAAAAGTCAGCAGTTAGTGAAGAAGAAATGAAGAAATTTACTTACGCTTTGGCTTGCTGTCTCTGACTCGGTGTCTGTAGCACGTCTCTCAAACGAAACCTTTTTAGGGGAGACACTAGCTTTTCCCGGTGACTTCAAAATACCTGTGGGCTGTTTTTTATTATCGACAGCGGGTTCTTTGTGCAAGTTTCGCAAATCTTGAAGGAGTCTATCATGTGACACTTTCTTCTCAGCAATGGAGCGACTCAGATGGTTAATACTGTCCTTCTCCTCGTTTACAGTGTTTTTTAATGTCGTTATTTCGTTCTGTAGCTCTTCTAAAGTTCGCTTACGGTCATTTTCGTTCTGCTGATACAGACGCTCTTTCCCATACTTGTAATCATCGAGCTGATTACGTGCACTAACTGTGGTAATCAAATGCTTGCGAGTTGCCTGCTCATGTTCGAATTGTGTATTTGCGACTTGTGCCTTTAACTCTCGCAATAAGGCATTATTGTTCTCTTGCCGACAAAGTCTATTGTTTTGTAATGCAGAGAGAGATGATCTCAAGTTATCGATCTTTGATACAAGCACCATTTCTTCTCGCACCAATGCTTCTTTTATGGCAGTGTTTGCAAGAATTTCTTTGTCACATTCTTCAAAAAGTGTCTTTAAATCTGCAGACTTCTTACTTGCGGTGGAAATTTCTTCATCTAAACCACTTTGGATCTGAAAAACACTGTAAGTAGATGGAAGTCAAGTTAAATGCTCACATTCAGACTCTCCTCTTTTTGCAACTTCTTATTTATCACAGCTTCATTGAGCTGCAGACGTTTAGTAGTGACAGCTTCCTGTTCGAGCTCCAATTGGGTTAGGTTCGCAGTAATTTCCTTTGCAAAAGCTTGCCTTTTACATCTTAGCTCATCTCCGTCTCTATTCAGTGACACATTTTCATCCTCGAGTTTCTCAAGATCATTCTCTAACTCTTTCACCTTATTCAAATTTTCGTCACATTTCTCTTGTGCTACCAGCTCCATTTGTGTCAGCTGTTCGAATCTGAAAAGACAATTATTAATAACAATGCCAATTGTTCGTTTGATACAACTTCTCTTTTGCAGTTTGCAAATCATTTTCGAGTTCATTCAGCTTATCAGAATTCTGCTTCTTTGCCCGATCTCCTGTCTTCTTCAATTCGTCAATCTCTGCAACCTTGCAGGTAAGGGCATTCTGTACGAGACGGTGATCTTCAATTAAAGACTCAAAAGTTGATGTATTAAGGGCACACAGTTTCTGTAAATCGTCAAGTTTCTGCTTATATCCTTCAGTATCTGTCATGAGAGTTTTGTTGGACATGTGCAACTTTTCAAAATCGTATGTTTTTTTATTTATCTCGGTTTCAAAGCGTAACTGCTCAGTTTCTTTTCGGTTTTCTATTTCAATTAAGGTTTTTCTCTTTTCAGTAATAATTTTCATCACATTTTCTTTTTCCGAAGTATAGTGTGGGAACAAATCTTTTTGTTTAGCTTCTAAAGCAGATATCAGTTTAAGTTTCGACGCATACTTTCTTTCTGTCTCCGTGTGATGAACAATCAACATATCTTTAATTTTTTCCGTATTTTGAACCTCCCTTGCCAATTGCGGCGCGTAAATAGTTTCCACTTCAAGGGCTTCCTCCAGTTTGCTTTTTACTTCACGCAGGGCAGCAAGAGGCGCTTCGGAGGATTCCTTCAGAGAGTCCAACTCTTGTAAATCGTATTCCACTTTGATTTTGGTTACATGTTCTCTGGCCTAAAGAGAGAAAGATTTACTCACTTAATCTACATTTACAAGCAAAAATTACCTTCATCTTGGCTAGCAGTTCACTTTTAAAGTGAAGCGATGACATCAGTGTCGTTGTGTTGGACTTCCTACCTTCAGCTACCTGCAGTCCTTCGTTTTCTAATTTTATGCTGTCACATATTGGTGCCTCCATTTCGATTAGTTTAATTATCTGCTCCAACTTAACACGAATTAATTGGTAATTATAAACTTAAACTTTAAAAAATTTTAAATTCCGGAAAAGACGCTTTCACAATACTACCAATAGCATTTTCGTGTTAACGCTACCAACTTAAGAACTTTAAGGGATTCTGTTCCTAAACGCGACAGAGCCACATATGTACATGCACGATACGCATAAATGTTCTCGTGTCATTTACATCATCACCACCTTTACGTAATGTATTTTATTCACAATCATACTGTAATATCTAATATGTGTTATTATTCGAATGTAAAATAAGGTGAGCACATTACAATACTGCTTATACAGTAGACGCAGGGAAATGTGTAGTGAATTAGAGGTAGGTAATGATTAGTTTCCACCCTCTACACAGTTACAGATGACGCAGTCGTACAGTGGATTTAGTACGATCCATTAGAGTTTCACTTATAATTAGTAAAATTTGATTATTATTGTTCTGGGCCCTTTTTTTACAAAACAAAAAGGAAAACTTTGTTATTATGCAAGTAATATGAAATCCCATTTTAATCGCCACATGTCAAGACACGTAACTTATGTGTCTTGACATAACACCAAGATAACTACATAGGTAACCACCACTATGATTATGATTACGGAATCAATGCGGTAATTTTTAAAATCATCTGTTAACGCGACTGTTTCAAGGATCTAAAATGTGGTCAGTACCATTTCTTTCCCATTTTTAACAAATGTTTCCACACTTGAGGGAAGTAATGAAATTATTATGTTTGCGCCGTACTCAAGAACTGTATTGAAGCACACACCAGTAATAATTTGACTGTCACTTACACCCGAAAGTATAAAATTTAAGTGAGGTTATGTTACAATGTCTATTTTATTAGTTACGGAAAACGCTGATAGATAGACTTTCGCTTAGGTGAAGTTACAGTGATTGTATAAAGACAGTGTGGCCATATGTTCCATGCTCGCCATGCTTATTTTCCAAATTTACCAATGGGCTGATTAGTTTAAACGAATTGGTAGATTTTGCTATGGTTACAATAATATTGTCACACTTGTCCCCAGCGTGATGACATCGTCGAGGACATCGTCACCTTCGTTTCCAGGTTAATTTCTAGCAATCCGGTGTAGATGGTTAAAACATGGCGGAGCTCCCAACTACCAATGGAAAATGAAACCACTGATGTATGACAAGACTGTCTCTCTATTGCTTGCGTTTTCTCCGTTCGTCCGTCTAGACCTACTTCTGTCGAGTTGCACACTTTTAGGGGAATTGTTCTAGAGTCCTGGATGCCTACATGTAGCAACCAATTGGTCTCAGATTTTGCATAGGCATGCCTTTTGGTGCCAAGTAAACTTTTAAAAGGGGCGGGGGAGTTAGGGGATGAACACACGTTCTACTCTTCATGGTATTCTAATGAATGCTCTCATCGAAATGAATTGTTTTGTACAAACTATAACTTATATAAGACGCATGAACGGTAAATGTCTAAAATACAAAGGTAATTTGTTATATAAAACCGCACCAGCATAATAGGGATTCATTTTAAATAATTTGAAAAAATTTCATAGTATTCGAATTAAAGAGGTTGCTCACAAAGGGCGATTGGGACGTCTGGAAGACATATATACATTGGCGATGTTAAAACTTTAAGAGCGAATATCTCGAAACCGGTTTGGTTCCAAAGACATTATGAATCGTCTAAACGTAATGTCCATGAACCTAGCAGAGCAAGGTCAGCAGAACGCAATCAAACATATTGCATAATTAGGTGCTAGTTAGGTGCCCTATTACCAAATTGAATGCTCCTTTTTTAAAAAATTATTACATGTTTTGCCAGGTTCATATAAACTCAGCAGAACACTACCTCAAAAAACCAAGAAAATGAAAAGTGAACTAATTATAATTAGGTGCTAATTAAGTGCCCTATCCTCGAATCAAATGCTCCTTTTTAAAAAAAATTATTACATGTTCTGCCAGGTTCATATGAACTCAGCAGAACACTACCTTTAAAACCCAAGTAAATGAAAAGTGAACTAACTCAAATTAGGTGCTAATTAAGTGCCCTATTCCCGAATTAAATGCTCCTTTTTTTTTAAATTATTACATGTTCTGCCGGGTGCATATGAACTCATCAGAGCACTACCTCAAAAAACCAAGAAAATGAAAAGTGAACTAACTCTAATTAGGTGCTAATTATGTGACCTATCCTCGAATTAAATGCTCCTTTTTTTTAAAAAAATTATTACATGTTCTGCCAGGTTAATTAGAACCTAATTATCGTAATTATACAAATGATAAAATCAAGTTTTACAAATTGCAAATATAAAATTACAGTGTTCATCCTATATCTATTGATTTTTACATTAGAATAACAGTATGCTACCGGACATGGTAGCACCACTATGTAATGTTGGTTGCCATGCTGTAGGTGATTTTCAAATCCTTTAATGTACATTTCAATTTGTGTCAGTAATTGCAATTTTTTCTTGTAATTTCATATTACGTTTATGCATTGTGAATATTGAACTGAGGGAGAGCACCACTGAAGAAGGATTATCTAGGCCCTTTCTGTCGGAATGAAATGGAATGGATACTTATTTTTGTCATAGTTTTATCTTGTTTATATATCATTTTATCTTTTTTTGAAATAATTATAATTACCTAATTAAATAAAGTATCTTTATTATTACCGGACCTCGCTGACCAAGTTTAACACCAAGGGCTGCACATCGAGTTGCTTTTCTTGTTCACAATTTAGCGCAATGGCTGCAATAAAATTTAATTTTAAATAGACAACTATCCATATCTGTCACCTTTTTTAAAACACAAATTGTCATTTGTTCGCATTCAAAAGTGTTATACTTACTGACGTAGGTAGATGCTAAACCAGTTGAAATGGCAATAATTTACTATTTTCCATATTTGTACTTATATGTAGGAGGTAATTTTTCTGCAAGTGTTATTTTCACACTTACAATGACATATTCTTTGCAAAGATTTTATTTTATCCTGTAAACATGGCTGTTAACGTAGAAATGAATTTATTAGTAGATAAACCTACAGACTTCTATGATTTCTTATACCTATATAGTAATTTTGTTTAACAGAGCTAGTAAAGAATTACTGTGCTCCATAGTTCTTTTCATACAATTACTCTCGATCTTGACCATGCTTCGGTTTGAGCCAGTCACCTGTAACATGAAAAAATCAGACAATCATGACATTCACTGTAGCTTCAAACAGTTTGGACCAAAAATATTCCATAAACTTTCCACAAATTTCCAACAGAATTTAGCCAGTTACATTCTTCTAAGGGACAACAAGTTGTAGTGTTCCGCGCTAAACTTTTATTTGTGACCTGATATATCTTGGTGACCTGCATGCTTTTCCTGTATACATTTTTCAATAACCTGTATGACTTTTGGAACATATTTTAGTGCAATATTTCGTGTCACAGCGTAACCTCGCCTTCCATATGCACGCTTTACATTGCAAGATTTATTACCTTCACGCTAATATTCTATATAACGAAACACACATCTTTGAAATTAAAGGAAATACAAGGAATAAATAGAAACGTTACAATAAATTTATGTCCCTATACAAAGTCAATTTCAATTTTCTGGACAAGGATATTTATAAGCAAATAAATTGTTAACCTAAGAACAGTTTAAATACATTCCCTTAACGACACTTGACAAGACAATGAGCAAGAAACGATTGTTCAATGTACCAATAAGTATAAGTTATTTCACGTTAGTTGGAATTCTCGAATGAAAAACTTAGTTTTTCTTGTTTATTAATCGGTTGGTTTTATATAGCCCCTGACGATGTGTACAGGACCGGATCTACATATTTTGCGTCTATGGGCTCCTCGAAATCGCCCCCCTCCCCCAACGAATGAAAAGCATTTTATACTCCAACCAAAATTTGTTTCCAGAAATATGAAATATTTTTTACTCTTTACAAAAATTTTCTTCCTCCTAATTTGCTCGGATTGATTTAATTAGTATTAAAAACATTTTATATTAATTATGAGATTTATAAAGTGTTATTGTAACAAAGTATACTATCTGTAGTTTGACTTACAAAGAAATTACCTATTTTTAGAGGACGTATACTCCGTTTTATTAATTTTTCCGCATCATTACATCAACAGGAGCTGATGAGTGCTATATCTAATTTTTAACGTTTAAGAATATATTTACGTCATTACGTGGCGTTATTAAGCCCCTCAGATTGATAAAAAGGGCTAGAGCACTTCAATTAAAGGTTTTCAACAAAAAAATTTGCGGGAGAACCCCTAAATTTTTAACAATCTTAATAGAACGTTCACATAATTTCGTCGAAATGTGAGGCGATGTTACTCCATATTTCATGATTACTTTTAAGTGGGAAAGTGTGCGTAACATTCCAACTTCAATTTCTTAAGAGGTTTTGTTATTTTTCCACGATAGTAGTGTAGAATTATTTCCCAAATTTGGTTTTTTGCCACCCCAAAAATTTGCCGTTATGCCCCGGGCCCACATGGTCCCATGCTAAATTCGGTACTGGATGTGTAAGTACCTACTTCCTGTACATATGGAGGTATATTAGCCTGATTAGACCATTAATCATAATTAATAATAAAATTAATATTAAATTAGTTACTTAAATAGGCAGTTCTAATTCTAACTGAAAAATCGATCAAAGATATTGAATGAAAGTTGTTAGAGGGAATGCCTTTATACACTGTACCTCCGAAGACTATTCTAAAAGTTAGGCTCTGGAGAGTGCATTAGGTGTTGAAAAATTCGTGCCAAATCAATGATAACGCAAATTCTTTGTTTCGGAGGTTTGCATTAAATGAACTCTGTATGTCTATGAATGCTCGCAGTGTAGACTGTTTAGTCCAGCTATTGAATAATAGTGTAGCTACATACACAGGAAATGGTGTAAGTTGTATTGCATAAACTGCTTCAGGTATCATAAATATTCAAGGATATTTGGCCGCGAGCGGTAGGTAAATTACTATTTTCAAGGAAACTCGGCGGTTGGGTGGTATGGAGTCATCCGAACTCTGCCTCTTTTTCTCTTCGCCTACCCGTTTCCCGGATAGACCGGAGTTCGCCTGGCCTTCTTCCTCCTCTTCTGTTAAGCGCCGGAGATGCACTTGCATGGTTTAGTGTGTTG